TTGAAACATTTTCCCTGAAGCTTACTCTTCTCATCCAGACTATGTAGACACTTCAGGCAATAAACATGCATACACGGCAGGATCCTTGGGTCAGTTAATATATCCTGGCACAATCCACAAATGAGGCCTGCCTTGAAACGATCTCCAGCTGATGCCATTTTGTATTTTGGTACAATGTTCTTGAAAATCAACTTCCTGATTTAAATTTAATTTATATTTTCAGCAGTATTTTATTGTCCTATTGTATCTCCTTTGGTGAAGGATTAGAGTTAACTATATGTTCTTGTTGGAATCAGTAATCCCACTTTATTTAAGGAAATTTACTTTGGATTCATGTACTTTGAAATGACACACAACTTTTTGCATGTTGACTTTATTATAATCAGTTCTCAGAACTCATATTCATAGCTGCTTGTATGTTATCGGGTTATAATAACCTTTTAACTAAAAGAAGAACATATCTTTAGATCAAGTGTTATTTATTGATTATTTGAACAAGTATTTGATGTGAGGTAAAAAGTTGAAAGTCCTCTATTTTGCTTAAACTCTCATTGAAATCACAAAGGGCAACATTTCATATTCATAGATTGTATGTTATCGGGCTATAATAACCTTAGAACTGAAAGAAGTACATTGCTGTAGATCAAGTTTTATTTACTGATTATTTATACAAGTATTTGATGTGAAGTAAAAAGTTGAATGCACGATGTTAGCGCTGTTATTACAAAGGGCAAAATCAAAAAAATGTAAAAAGAACTAGACATGTAAATTGAACAAGTTCAATTTAAGACTCCAGATTTAAAACTTTTTTTAAGCTGAGTCATCCAAAATACTGTAAGCTGAAAAATTCAGAATAAGCTGAGTCATCTAGAATACAGACATTTAGACAACTCTTAAGTAGCTTATCTTCGTCTACATTGGCTTAACATGGGGATATCATAATATCAACTTTTCGAGACTTCAAACAGCTATGACTATCTAACCAGAATTTGGGTCGAAATTTGGTTTGCAGATTCAAATTTCTGAGAAAATTCTATGTTTGTGTCATAACTCATACATTAAATTTTGAGAACTTTTTATGTTGACCTACTTTCCGGACGCCATTCCTCAAAATCGGTAAGAGTAATCAAAAAAGACAGTTACAATAATGAAAGGACTGTCTTTAAGCTACATGATGAAAAAAGAGAAAGGAATAACGACGAATAGTGACAAAGATAATTGACATAACATGGGATATCAAAATACCAATTTTTTAATTTTTCAAAACGCCATTACTTCCAAACCGGTTGTCGGATTGAAATTTGATTTGCAGATTTGGATTCCTGAGAAAATTCTACCCTTAATTCATAACTCATACGTTAAATTTGGAGAAACTTTCATGTTGACCTACTTTTCGGACACTATATCTCAAAAGTGGGTCAAAATACTTTCTGACGGCAAAAGGCTAACACTATTAGCACACTCTTTGCTACCTGTATACAAAATTTTGAATCAAATAATTAAAGTGTAGTGTCAGAATCGCAAAAATAAGTTAAAACTATAAATTTGACCTAGATTTTGACCTAGGCATTTTGGTGACCAAATTGTGAAGCTAGCTAGCTTTTGAGGTCCCTTTCTTTTATAGGCTTTCATTATGTGAAGCTGTACTCAGTCTTTATCTCGTATTTTACACTTCAAAAAAATCTTTTTTCCCATTGCCATAACATGGGGCACCAAATTTAGCGATTTTTGAGCTTTCAAAACAACATAACTTCCAAACCAAAAGTCGGATTGAAATTTGGTTTGCAGATTCAGATTCCTGAGAAAATTCTACCCTTAATTCATAACTCATACGTTAAATTTGGAGAACTTTTTAGTTTGACCTACTTTTCGGACACCATATCTCAAAAGTGGGTCAAAATATTTTCTGACGGCAAAAGGCTAACACTATTAGCACACTCTTGGCTACATGTATAGAAAATTTCGAAGAATATAATTAATTTGTAGTGTCAGAATCGCAAAAATAAGGAAAAACTTTGAATTTGACCTAGATTTTGACATAGGCATTTTGGTGTCCAAATTTTTATGAAAAGAAGGTCTTGTGGTCCCTTTCTTTTATGGGCTTCCATTATGTTTAGCTGTGCTTAGTCTATATCTCGTATTTTACACTTCAAAAAATTTTTTTTTCCTATTGAATTAACATGGGGCACCAAATTTAGCGATTTTTGAATTTTCAAAACGCCATAACTTCTGAACCGGAAGTCAAATCGAAATTTGGTTTTCAGATTCGGAATCCTGAGAAAATTTCCTATAAATCTGATATCCTGGACATTGGATTCGGAGAACTTTTTTTTGGACCTCGTTTTCGGACACTGATATCTCGAAATCGGTTTGAGATACCAAAAAACTAAACTGATCCTAGGTTTTCTACTTTTTTATGAGGAACACAATGAAAAAAACCGGATCAAAAATATTGAAGGACGACCGAGATAATGGGAAAAAGTGACAAAGTACTGGATTTGACCTAGTTCTTGACCTTTGACCTAGATAAAAATTTGACCTAATTTCCCAGAAAGCCAGATACATTCCCCAGTTAACCATGTAGGTTGGATTAAGTGAGATGTTATAGTTGGAGAGAAAATCTGTTAGGAGGAAGAAAGAATAATAACTAGATTTGTAAATTGAACAAAGTTCAATTTAAGACTCCAGATTGATTTACTTGAGTAGGTAGCTGAGTAAGTAACTGAGTAGCAAGCTGAGTAAGTAGATGATTAAGTAATTGAGTGAGTAGCTGAGTAGGTAGCTGAGAAGGAAGCTGAGTAAGCAGCTGAGTAGGTAGCTGAGTAAGTAGCTGAGTAAGTAGCAGAGTAGGTAGCCGAGAAGTAGGTAGCTAAGTAGGTATCCGAGTGGTATGTAGGTAGGTAGGTAAGTAGGAATTTTTGACCGAAAGTCGGATTGAAATTTGGTTTGCAGATTCAGATTCCTGGGAAAATTCTACCCTTATTTCATAACTCATACATTAAATTTGGAGATTTTTTTATTTTGACCCACTTTTAGGACGCCATATCTCAAAAATGGGTCAAAATACTTTCTGACGGCAAAAGGCTATCACTATTAGCACACTATTTTCTACCTGTATACGAAATTTTGAAGCAAATCCTAAAAGTGTAGTGCCAGAATCGTAAAAATAAGGAAAAACTATGAATTTGACCTAGATTTTGACCTAGGCATTTTGGTGTCCAAATATTGAAACTAGGTAGCTTTTGAGGTCCCATTCTTTTATAGGAATTCATTATCTTAAGCTGTACTCAGTCTATATCTCGTATTTTACACTTCAAAAAAATCTTTTTTCCTTGACTTTCTATCAGGATACCATCAGATCAATTTTTCTCGAAATTTCAAAACGCCATAACTTCCTAACGGGAAGTCGGATCGAAATTTGGTTTGCAGATTCGGATTCCTGAGAAAATTCTATCCTTAATTCATAACTCATACGTTGAGTTTGGAGAAATTTTTATTTTGACCTACTTTTCGGACACCATATCTCAAAAGTGGGTCAAAATACTTTCTGACGGCAAAAGGCTACCACTATAAGCACACTCTTGGCTATATGTATACAAAATTTCGAAGAATATAATTAATCTGTAGTGTCAGAATCGCAAAAATAAGGAAAAACTTTGAATTTGACCTAGATTTTGACCTAGGCATTTTGGTGTCCAAAATTTTATGAAAAGAAGGTCTTGAGGTCCCTTTCTTTTATGGGCTTCCATTATGTTTAGCTGTGCTTAGTCTATATCTCGTATTTTACACTTCAAAAAAATATTTTTTCCCATTGAATTAACATGGGGCACCGAATTTAGCGATTTTTGAATTTTCAAAACGCCATAACTTCCGAACGGGAAGTCGAATCGAAATTTGGTTTTCAGATTCGGAATCCTGAGAAAATTTCCTATAAGACTGATATCCTGAACATTGGATTCGGAGAACTTTTTTTTGGACCTCGTTTTCGGACACTGATATCTCGAAATCGGTTTGAGATACCAAAAAACTAAATCGACCCTAGCTTTTCTACTTTTTTATGAGGAACACAATGAAAAAAACCCGGATCAAAAATATTGAAGGACGACCGAGATAATGGGAAAAAGTGACAAAGTACTGGATTTGACCTAGTTCTTGACCTTTGACCTAGATAAAAATTTGACCTAATTTCCCATAATCCCAGATACATTCCCTAGTTGATCATGTAAGCAGCTTAAAGTAAGTTCTTCTAGTTGGTGAGAAATCTTGTAAGGAGGAAGAATAAGAAAAAAAAAATAATAATAATAAGAAAACTGGCAAAAGCAATAGACTCCAGATTTTCATCTGGAGTCTAATAATGAAATAGGCTGATAGATGAAATGTCAACCATTTCTAACCATCGGGTGGTATTAATATAGTCTCTAAAAATCTCATGTAAAATAGTCTAATAGAGAAATTGTCAATTATTTATTTAGTTGCTATGTTACTATGGTGATAGATTTTAATGTAAAACATAGCCATAACCAGATGATATGGCAATACTTGTGTTGTATTCACAGTATATAATTCTATCAATGTCTTGATTCATGAAAAGCATTTGAGTATCCAATCCTATAACTTTGGAAATCAGTCAATATTTTATGCTGTATATTTTGTGTGTAGTATGTAAATTAGTTTAGATCACCATAGGCGCAGCCGGGGGGGGGGGGGGGGGGGGTGCCCCCAATAACCAGGAAATTGCATCTATTTTTGTAAAATTTAAAATAAATCTTATTTGTGGCTTGTATATGCCACAATTGCACCCCTTGACTAAAAACTGAATTGTTATTTTTTTTGCGATCCCACCCCCCCCTGATCACCCTTCGAAATGATCTAAAACGACATTTCTAAACCATGTTATATGTTCTCTATCAGTCAGATAAGATCCTCTGTCTTATCAATGAAGCAGCAACACCATACTTTTGATCAACCTATCATTAATACTTTTTTTTTACAATTTTCAGTTTACGCACTAGTGAGACAAACTATTTAAATGAGTCGTTCTCATTTTATTCAGCCATCAGAATGAGGGCCTATTATTCCAAGGCTAATAAGGAAGACAGGTGAGTCCGTCATTTCAAGTTATTTTCATTTTGCCATCAAATTTCTTCATATACCTTTAAAATGTTCAAACTATGAATTATTACAAATGATTTAATATGTATTTTTGTGTTACATGTATTGTACATGCATTTTTCGCATAATTTTCAAAGATGGAATTGATTTTGAAAAATGCAGGTCTCCAGTTCGACCAATGGTGACAACTTGTAGTCCTGAGTCAAGCACTCATGTGTATGTACTAACATTTATTGTGAAAGCCACAACTTAACCAAATGTTGTTCATTGGGAGCGCAGTATTTTTGAGGTGGAGGTGTTCAGTTTTTGGTTTCCTTAATACAAGTTGTTATTTTTATTACATATTATCATGTATAAGTAACAGGCTAGCATTGCCCAAGTCGGTATTTGTTTTACTTATCTGATCTTGAATATAATAGAAATCAAGATGAGTAAAAGTGACCGACTTGGGCAAGGCTAGTAACAGGCTTGTAGCCAGCTTTTGATAATGGGGGTTCACTTTTTAAAACAATTTCAGAGGGGTTCAACTTTGACAATCTTGGGCCAAAAATGACAATCACTTGAAAAATGCTGAAAAACTGCAGTATTTTAAAAGAATTGTCGACACCCCTCTGGCAATGGGCCTGTGTGAAATATTTCGAACTACTTTTACATGATGGTGATAGGTTTTGAGGGTCTTGGTCTTTATTTGTAAGTTAATTACTTAATTATAATATTTTATCTCCCTTAATAATGAACCAAATCTATATAACAATTGAAACTGAAGGTACATTTAGGAATATCTAAATACATCAATATTATTTCATATTCCCATCAGCAGTTATATGTTAAAATATCAGATGACAAGATTTCAAAAATCAGATAAGAGAAGTTTTCAGATATACAGGTTTAACTTATGCCATTACAGGGAAACACTATACAGTACAGTGAATCCTGTAAAGTGGAACACCTAGAAGTGGAACACCTCTGTTAGTGGAACACTTTTCAGAGTCCAAAGACAGACTGACTAATGTTAAATGAACCTCAATAAGTGAAACACCTCCCAAGTACTGTAGAACACTTTTTAGAGGACCCAAAGGTGTTCTAAAGGTTTTACTGTATTTAATAATTATCATGAACAGATAATACTATAAAAGTAGTGTTATGTCATGTTTATTTTTATTTTCCTGACAATTTGATGTACCGTATTATCTCTATTAAATGCAGTGCGCTTAGCAAATTCCCGTGGGGGAGAGGTTTCAAGCAGCTTAATCCCCGGGAATTCTGAAAAATTATGATGGTGGGCGATAATGGGTGAAAAATTACTTCTATACTTAAAATCGATCAAATATAGTAGACATGTGCGTTTATTAGAGAGAATATGCTATATGTTATGTTTTTACCTTGAATTGTGAGCTCCTAGACGACAAATTTAGTACAGTAAAACCTGTCCGATGGAATACCTCTCTGTAGGGAAAACCTATGAACAAGGAATGCTTTTCAAAAGAACCGAATATTTTTCCATTGACTTGCATGTTAACAGACCCTCTCTGTAGGGAAAACCTGTGAACAGGGAACAAGGAACACTATTTTGGGGCAATATATGAAAATTCACCTGTGAACAAGGAATTTTGAATATTGGTGACACTGTATATTCCATTATTTTTCAGAGGTGTGAAAGTCTTAAGCCAATATCTGAATATAAAAAGCTTGGATTAATATGACTGAGATTAAGATAAGCCAATTGTTGACATGATGTAGCATCCCACCCACTGTTAATTACCTTGATTTATTTTAAAACTAATACTAATCTGTTTGTTACTTATTATCATGACACCAATTCTTCCTTTCAAAAACTTAATTACATCAAATCAGTTGTGATAATCTAGGGACTGACACAATTGTTTTATGGAGATAACAGATAGTAAGTACATGGTCATGTTGAGCCAAATCTCTTTAAATCTTTTACTGATCCAACTTCCAGATTATCAATGATATAAAATGGGGTTGATGAAACTTGAAATTCAGTTCTTAGCAATATATCTCTACACATCATATCAATAATTACATCAACTAGACATCATCAGACGCTAGCAGCAGCTAAAATCAACATGAGGAGAACGTAACCAAGTATGGAGTCGGCATTTGTACAATCAATCAGTATATATTACAAATATGCTTATTGGGCAATTTTGAGTTTGCTGAAAGTGCGGCCCCTCTCTATAGGGAAAACCTCTGAACAAGGAAACTTTCCTCCAGTCCCAAGAGCATTCCCTGTTCGCAGGTTTTACTGTATATAAATACACTATTGTGTGTTATTTACACGAACACCTGAAGAAATTTCTTACGTTGCATGATGGGAAATCGTGACGTCATGAATCATGATGCATTATTTTAACGAACGGTGAAAATACTCTATTATCGCCTACAATGTTTTTTTTATTAGAGCTTTGTCAGATCTCAATATTATCTGGACAGGACTTTCTAACCTGGGACAAAAAGTCGGGTGTGCGTTTATTAGAGAGTGTTCGTTTAATAGAGATAATACGGTATATAAACTAAAATACCATGTTTCTGATGAAAATCTTGAAAGAAATAATTTTCAGTGAATTTATTATATTATTGTTATTTCTGTCTCTCTCATTGGCTGAGAACTGATCACATGATTAAAAGGGTCACATTGTATTCATTCCCCCATGTCTTTTGCCCCATTTTTAACTGTTAATATCACTCCTTTCCCTGTCGTGATTATTTTTCATCTTTTCCTCTATTTTACTTCGGGAAAGATTCTTCTCAATAGAAATCGTCTATAATTCAGAAGTACCGTTAAAGCATCATAATATGTTCTTATTTGTTGCAAGTAGATGTAATTGTTGTCTAAATGTCTTATTAGACTTGAGTATGTTGTAATCGCATTTATGTATGATTTATCTTTGGTGGCAGAAAGTTGTCAAAATCATCATTTTTGCAATAACAATAACAGTCCATAGTTTATAATGTTACATTTAAGATGATCAATATTTATTACACAATTCATTAATATTTTATGGCATTTTAGGAAAAATGTATGGATGTCATATTTTGGAGGAATAATATTTCAAGCTTAAGAATTATGTAGGGTGTAGAAATGTGAAACATATACCTGTGCTGATTGAAAAAGTCATTCCTACCCGTAGGGCTTGAAAATGTGACCTTTATAAAAACATATAAGATTCTTTGAAATCGTTATTGTCTTGAGAAATGTGTCTAATATGTCATTGTAATGACATCAGAGAGTCAATAAGAGAATGCTGACGTGTATTTTAATATTTGCCCGTAGGAAGTACACTTTACGGCTGGTTTCTCCTACTCTATTTTATTGCTCAATGCACATTGTAAATTAGTCCGCAATATTTTACACAATTATTTTAAATGTAAATATTTTATTGTTTTGAATCAAATGTATATTTTTTTCATTTTCAAATGAATTCCCTGTATTAAAATCCGATGTTGTTTCAGGCCAGATCTGATGGTGAAAAAGCTACGATGGTACGCCAGGTTTATTGTTGTCTGCCTCTTGTTGAAAAAGATGAAACTTGTCCGAGATTTAGTCAGGGTAGGTTACTGTGAATGATTTGCTTAACCTCTTGACTAGCTGGAGTGACGAGATTTCTCGTCATCTCAGAAATGATCTTGACGAGAAAGATCTTTTCGAATGAGCCATGGCTTGTGTTTTAACAATTTTGCCTTGCATATATAGACCAAAAAGTCGTATTTGAATTTAGCATATTTTTCTTGTAATCTTGGTCACATTTTCGGATCTGTAGCACAATTTTAATTTTTGTGATAAGACAGGTTTTCCTATGGCCAGGCTCATTTATTATTTGAACTAAGAGTCTAAGAAATGATCAAACTTTTCTGAATTTTTATGATTTCAAAAATGTTAACCAACTAGGTGCCCAGAACTACTGTATTTTACTGATCCAAATAATGCATAGGCAGATCTGAAATTGATTATAGGTTCAAAAAACTTTTGAAAATTCCTTTTCCTAAGGTTCGAGCTTCTGTGAAACAGTTAAGAAAATTGATACCTATTTTTCCTAAAATACACTTTTTCAGAAGTAAGAGCATCTTTTAAAAATGAAACCCAAATAAGGTTTTTGGACCCAGTCCCCCGAAGATTACCAGTGTAATGTATAAAACCTACCTTTTTCAGGAGCTTGGGAAACAGATTGATGATTACATCTCAATATATGATCCTGAAGATCAGTTAGAATGGACTCTTGTGCTAGGAGAAATCAAGGCTTTCATAGAGGTAAGACATAACATATCATGTGACACAATATATCATGTGACACATTGTGCCATGTGACATAACATGTCATGTGACACAATATGCCAATGTGACATAACTGATCATGCCAAAACGTATCATGTGGCATGCTGGGGAAATGAAGTCTTACATAAAGGTTGAGGCATATCATATCATGTGACACAAGGTATCATGTGACATGACACATCATGTGACACATTGTATTTTGTGACATAACATATTGTGTCATAACATATCATATGGGGTACTGGTTGAGATCAAGTCTTATATACAAATAAGACAGCACTTCAATGTGAGCTTGGGGAGCTTGTGGGATCTAATAAAGTCATTGATTGATATAATAATAATAAACAATGTTGTCTGATGTTATTCTAATTGAATTGGTATGAATTGAAGAGTCTAAAGTGTGTAATAGAAATGGACTGGATTCTTTAACTGGATATCATCATCCTACTCTTTGACATGTGGTTACGCATTGTTATGTTTCGCAGCATAATTTATTGGTTGTCATATTTTTTATTACTCTTTATGTTCTTGTATTATGGTACCACCAAGAAGTTAGGACACATTGTGTCATAGCCACCATTTTAATGACCCATATTGGGCATTTGGAGTACAGCGTTGGCATCAGTGGTTGGTATATGTAACAAACTGTTACGCTTGAGTTACCATTTGCAGATCATGACATTTTGTCAATGCCTTGTATTGACAAATCCAATTCATGAAGACAAGAAGTCAGAACAGCCAAGCTTCACAATAGGTTTTACAATAGTGTTTTTCCATTTTCCAATGAGAAATGAGAAGTCAGACCAATTGATTTACCGGTATTTAAGTAAGAGTACAACTCTTACTTCCGAACCTCCAGTTCAGGGCTGCATCGCCAGATCTGCATCTTCATTTTAATGTCACCGCCACAAGTGGATACCATTTGGTGTTTGGTTGTTGGTATTCAGTGGTTGGTGTTTGGTGGTTGGTGTCTGTAACATATGGCAGGTGGTAACAGTTTTCATGTTCATGTTTTGCTTTGTAATTTTAACTCCCATGTTTTCCCCAAATGGAGAAACTGATATCATTCCTTCTATATATTACACTGAATAATATTGTTAAATGCAGAAACCTAGATACACAAACAGGCCAAAAAATTGTCAAATCACCTTGCTTGTAAAATTACGATCTTAAAAATGTTCATTATGAGGTTGTGAATTAGAATGGAGATTTTGGGTTAAATGTATTGTTACAGGCCCAAAAGACATGCTAAATCATAGAACTCTCATAAGAAACTATCAATCACTTCCAATAGGCTTTTACTATTGTAAAATGATTAATTACCCCTATGCAGGCGAGTCAAATTGGCCAGCTTTTCCTGGAAAATAATAATAATGAAACAAAAACTCCAGAATGCGAGTAAATTGATTTGAATGTTGCATAATTTTGTCATTTAAGAAACTTGAATATGAAGCATTTTTTACTGCAAAAGGTGAAAATTAAATTTTGTTGAAGCATCATTTTATGAATGGGCAATCCTCATTCAGGCAATATCGTCATAACAAATGGGGCGGAAATTGTCAGTGGAGTTATTATTGCATTGTAGCGTCCACAAGGGGTCAGAAAATTTTGCGAATACAAATAATTAATGTAACGTTTATCAGATAAGTATTCTAGGAAGAACAGTTTATAATAACTCATTCTGAATAATCAATGCCCTGCCCAGTATTGCATATATTTTCCACTTTTCAGTCTGTATCAGACCTGGATGTAGTTCAGCCACTAATCGCTAAAACATGTTTAAAAAAGTAAACATATAACCATTGCTCTGTGAATTGTTCAGTCCCAAGCTGGATAATAAGTATTGATATGTGTTTTTTTCATTTCGAATTTTTCAAAAAACGAAAGTGAAATAACACATCTTTATGTGAATGAGGTTTTTTATTAATGAAATTAGAATCTCAGGTAAAGATATTCGAAAATTCCATAACATTAGTGGTATAATTTTAGACCCATACTCTGGGTCAGTTGTGTCCTTTCCATTTGTATATATGAATAGAATGCCTTTATATGATTTGTCCAAACTTTTAATTGAAGTCATCTACTTTACACTATAAACTCAAAATGAGGAAATAAAACCAGAATACCAGACACCTCAACCATCATATAGATTTGTTGATTCTCTATAATCTAATATACAGTACTAGAGACAGTTTGAAGTCTACCAATATAACATCTAATACAGGGTAAATCTCAAGTCAGACTTTACTGGCAAAGTGCATAACTCTTTGGTTTTATACTGTCATAAATCATCAGATATTAATAACACATATCAAATTTTATCGCCATTCAATGCAGTTTGGTTAAATAACTGAATGGTACTATTTAATGAATCAAGCGATTGATTCCATTGAGTTTCAACATCAGTAGATATTTATGCCATATTTTGTATAGATATAACATTAGTCATCTTTCCTGTCCCAATAGTCTAGCTATAATTGCTTGTGAGCCCCCCTTCCCCAACTACATACATCCCCTGTGTGAGAAGGTGTGTAGCCAACTAGTTATAGGGGGGGGGGGGGGTCACAGGGGCTGATAGCTAAACTACACTCTGATCTATCTAGTTCTCTATTAGGGCTAATAGAGGTTATGGAACCTACAATGTCCCCAAACTGTTAAACCAGTTTATTACGACTTATTGTATATAATACCTTATAGAGTTGGGGGGGGGGGGGTCACATGGGCTGATAGCTAAACTATACTCTGATCTATCTAGTTCTCTATTAGGGCTAATAGAGGTTATTAAACCAGTTTATTACGACTTATTGTATATGATACCTTATATAGTTGGGGGGGGGGGGGTCACAGGGGCTGATAGCTAAACTATACTCTGATCTATCTAGTTCTCTATTAGGGCTAACAGAGGTTATTAAACCAGTTTATTACGACTTATTGTATATAATATTGTATATAATACCTTATATAGTTGGGGGGGTCACAGGGGCTGATAGCTAAACTATACTCTGATCTATCTAGTTCTCTATTAGGGCTAACAGAGGTTATGGAACCTACAATATGGCCATACTGTTAAACCAGTTTATTACGACTTATTGTATATAATACCTTATAGAGTTGGGGGGGGGGGGGGTCACATGGGCTGATAGCTAAACTATACTCTGATCTATCTAGTTCTCTATTAGGGCTAACAGAGGTTATGGAACCTACAATATGGCCATACTGTTAAACCAGTTTACTAAGACTTATTGTATATAATACCTTATAGAGTTGGGGGGGGGGGTCACAGGGGCTGATACCTAAACTATACTCTGATCTATCTAGTTCTCTATTAGGGCTAATAGAGGTTATGGAACCTACAATATGGCCATACTGTTAAACCAGTTAATTGCGACTTATTGTATATAATACCTTATATAATTGGGGGGGGGGTCACAGGGGCTGATAGCTAGACTGTATCCGGAATTAGTCAGATAAAAGTGCAGAAGATAATATGATTATAGGGATCGTATTAAAGGTCAGATTCTCAATTGTAGATGATGTTATAAACCGTCAAGTAGAAAAATCAAGACGAGAGGCTATTTGGAGTTTGTTTTATTAAGTTTTTTTTCATGTCATATATGCTATTGAATATAGAATAGCAAAATAATTGAATAATTAAATTTATTTAGGTCACTTCCATCTACTTTGAGTCTGGATGCCTGTCTCGATTGATTTTCTCAGGGACCTAATTTACCTAGTCTACAATACATTGGGCAAATAAAAATTACAAAGGGGAGAACTTATCCTTAGAATGCCATATAATTCCACATGTTCGAGTACAAGTTTTCAAAACCAGTGTATCTTAACCTCCCTATTGACAGGAAATACCACAAAAAGTTTTCTTTTAACACAAACCATAACAATATTTTAGTCCCTTGAAGATGGAAAAGGTTGATTTAAATTTAACATCATTTAGAATTTTTGGTAAAATCTTTATCATGTGCATCGTTTTTATATTTGATGATATGACCATATATGGTATTATAAAGAAATATACTATCTGCATGATTTTTGTATGGGTATTACAATAATTTTGCGCTGTATCATGTTGAAATAAGTAAATATGCAGAAATAAGGTTCTTTTTGACTTTGGCTCGAAAAAGGAATGTAATATACATGTATTCATGTTAAAATATGGATTCGAACAAGTTAAGCTCTTGCCTGGATAGCGAGGGGTTGTGGGTTTGATCCCCACTGGAATGGTCTGACATTTAACATAAGCCCTTAGTACAGGATTCAATTCTGTGTTTTTATTAACTGCTTTGGGAGGTTAGCCATAATAAATATCTTCTTTGACATTTAAGTGCATTGTTTTATCTTCTTATTCGTTTTCGTTTTTCATACCCTGAGTGAATTAAACAATTTTACTGAAATTGCATCATCGTCATATATATTACATATCCATTTTGTATTAATGATTTATTTTCCCATATATTTTCAGGCAGATGGGATATTAAATGTGGTGGATGTAGACTCATCATCGATAGTGTTATCCCATAGGTTATCCCCCCTCAATACTCCACCTCTAGAAAAGGGGGCGCCAGTGTACCTGACCCTACAGGAAGTGTTCATCGTAGGGAACTGCAACGACCAGGTAGGTGTTTTGTGAAGTGCTAAGTTTCTTCAATACCATACAGTAGAAAGGTCACCTTTTAAGAAAGAATTTTTATCTGAAGTAGAGGTAGACTTATAAATATGCTACGTAACATCTTCCCCAATTTATGTATGTGTAACATCACAAGTTAACAAGAAAATGGCTTTGGAAACATAATGGAATACCCCCTGATGGGAATATGATAACTACTCACCACACTCACTTCACTTAAGTACTCACCACATTTGGCATATTGAGCACCATTGTGGAAATGGTCAAATCAATGTTCGAGACATCACCAACACCAAACGAATGCACCAATTTATGAAATGACAAATCCAAATGGCCAAACAAAAGCATGTACACCATATGAATGGTATATCTTACTCGCAGGTAAAGTTCAGTGAGCTGACTTTGGACATGTTCCGTATGCTACAAACTTTAGAGCGTGAGCCGCAGGAGGATTTGACGAGCACACAGATATACGATGCATCCCCTGCCCCGGGGAAAACTCCCTCTTTTGTGAGTGATTTATTTTGAAATTTCTTGAACACTTACCCTTTCTTAAAATATCCATCAACCTGGACATACCTGAGTATTCATAAAATAAATTCTCAGGAGTTTTTCTCTATTAATTTTATTCTTATAAAAATAGATTTCTCCCTACGATTTCTTCATCCTAGATTTTTCTAATACATACTTTTACATTTTTCCCCACCTACATGTAATGTCTGGTTAAAGCCATTTCACATGTGCTACATGTCAAAAATATTCCATCGAAGATTTACTCATAGCTAACATGAATGTTTCTTTTGAGTGCCTTGAACCACTGGTGAAATACAGGATGAAAGTCTCATCCCGCAAAATGGTAGACAAAATTTGTTGAAGTATTGATAAACCATTTTCTACTAAACCTCGAGCAAAATCTAGAATACTACTTTGCAAACTAAAAAAGTTAATGAAAATTTTGAACAATTTACCTCAAAACAATTTTAAAGAAAACCTAAAGACTATAACAAGTCATTCAAGTTAGCTTCTTCCTAAGGAAATTAGTTTTCTTTGAAACTGCCAATAGCGCTACAAGAGATGTTTGAAGATTTCTGTGTATTTGTTTACAATGAAATAGTTTGAATCCAGACTGTACTGTACTTGATTGTTTACTTGATTTAGCTAAAACAGGTTTGACAATATCGAACTAATTCTGTCCACCATTTTGGATACAAATAACTCAAGTTAGTATCAACCTGCTGTGGACCAGCTTTGATTCCACCTTTCAATGTAACTCTTGAATATATGTTGAATTGTTTAAGTACATGTTTCCTTAAACATTTGGATGATATAGATATGAAAATGATGCAGCTTATAAAAGAACTGCTCAACTGATAAGTGTGTGGTATTTTGTAGTATCGAGCATCCCTCAAGCGCTACCCTTCAGATTCCTCAGTAACTGGTTGGGTACGATCATTTAATTGTGATGTCATTATATTGTGATGTCATTATATTCTCTCGATGTGATGTCATGTCCTTCATTGTGATGTCAACATATGTCAAGTTGTAAAATGACTGTTTTTTTGTAAATGTCTTTCTCAAATTAAAAACATCTTGAGGTGTTTAAGATTTATATTATATTTTTATCAATGTACATGTAGTTACAGATATGAACTTTTTATGTTCATACACAATTATGCATCATGCACTTTTCAATTTGTATTTTGTCTTTGAATTTCACCAAAATATGAATGATGTTTTATTGTTCATTTTTGCATGTGCATATTTCATGACTAAGATTTACAATTTTATGTTTCTTGTGGGGAATGATTTTTAATTTCTTGCACCTTCAATTATATACATTATCTATTTTGATATTTTGTATACTGATGATTTGGCCATGCAGCAACTAATTGATGCATTGTTCCAGGCAATGTAGCAACTTTTTGATGCAGGGTCTTTATGATATATACATGTAGCTTCAGCTGCAATGCCAAATATACCATTCTTTATTAAAGGAGTTTGCATATATATTCTAGATGTGAACAACATATTCTTAGAATATGTATTTTTATAAGATATTTGAGCATTTAAAATAATCCTAAAAGTAAAAAAAATTGAAATTGGCAAAAGTTCATTGAACATTACGAGTTGCTCCCAAATTTTTAAACCTTAAAAGTACATCTACATTTATTTTATAAAATTCAGACCTTAAAACCTCACAATCAAAACAACCAAGTTTTTTAAGAGTAATAAATTCAAGGTTTTTAGAAATGCTTTTTCCTTTATAGGGGGATAACAATAACTTGAACAAACGAGACAACCCCCACAAGTATCTCCTGTACAAACCCACGTTCAGCCAGCTCAATACTTTTCTAGCCTCCGGGTTTAAAGAGCTCCCACCAAACGGGGCAATGCTGCTCTACTTATCTGCAGATGGTTCCCTTGGCAATACCAAACAGACTGAAGATGGTAAGTTTGGCTTGGTTTAAATTAATATCTCTCCCAGTGGTGCACTTCTGGGGTAATTCAAACTTAGAAACTCTTGAATTCATTATATTGTTAGGAGCAATTAAGAAAAAATGATGTCAAAATCAGAAAACAATTGACATAGGGGTTCTTGAATTTTTGATTCTTGATTCTTTAATTTTTCCAGAAATGCACCCAGGTTCACAAGGAATTGATTGACACTTTTGTTGGTTCTTGTGACATTTTAGTAATATTATTCTTGTAGCCTATTTTTAGATGGCAGCACTGTCTGATCAATTTATTATTGCTTCTATACACATTCCTGGTTGGACTTAACACAAATGATACATTTGAAACACTTTAAATGGTGATTTCTTCTTTCATTTGCTGTATATACTAAACTACAAAACATTTTTGGTGCAGTACCATATATTATGTTTATTTCAGTTTTACAAAATATTAGAAAATGATACATAAATCTGGAAGAAATCTAAAATATACCTCAGAATCACATTGACCCCTCTAAGTATTCAGTTTTGTTTCAAAAACTAAACACCAAAGGTATGTTAGTACTAAGTATACCATAGGATATGATATTTATACAAATGATATGTTCAGTTGAGACAAAATATGGAAAACAATTAATATTTTCTTATTTAGTACAAAAATACAAGTACTGTAGGTATAGAAATATATCATACAAAATACTCCATGTTTTATTGACTTGATACTTCAATATGATTGTTTCACATGCAAGATTAGGCTAAGAGTAAATAAATTATGTGTTTATCATATCCTCTGTTATTTGTTTCAAATCACAGTGCAAATGCATAGGAAATAATGAATAAGGACCGTGCAACATTGAAAATAAATCTTGACTCTAACATATTTCATTTATTTTGACAGGGTATTTGTGTTTTAATCAATATTGTCGCCAAATGATTCTTCATCTTAATAAAATTATCGTAATTAAAAATATAAAAAATGAATATAAACATAGAATTAAATTACTCGGGCCTAACATTCTAAACACATCTTTCGGTCTCGTTGGAGAAAATGCAATAAGGCAAGAGAAACTATTCAAGAGTTACTGAGAGATTCAAACTGTTGAGGACGTCATCATTGCTCTGAGGTAGACATGTTCCTTCAGTCGGCATTTAATAAGAGGGGGCTCTAGGCCCATTACCTGCTTTTGCCAAGGGGGGGGGGCACTTTTCGAAAAAATTCCAGGGTGATCGCATTTGACAACTTTGACCCATATTTACTTGAAAATGATTCAGAATGGTGAAAAATTTCATGAAACCCACAGACCCCCTGGCTGCAGGCCTGGGGTTCCTTCAATGGGCCACACCTAAGTGTGCCTCTTTTGTCCAAATCAGCCCTCATAGCTATGATACCATAAAAACTCATGGTATCATGGGGTTTGATCACTAACTTCTATTACCCCATCCCTTAACATACTTTTTTGTCTTCAAATTGAGCTAATGTGACAGTGGCACTGACTGTTTCACAATTTGGATTATGCTAAAATGATTAAATAAAAAACAATTAAAAATGCAATTTGGATTTCACTGGTTTTTAGCTCACATGATGAGCTTTTGCATCATTCTTTGATACTACACCATTGGCTTTTCATTGTACTAACAGCACAATGGATGTGATGTATCAATAATGATTATGGAGTTTAGATTATGTTTGATACAGAAACAGCATCCTCCGAACAACGTAGGGCTCAAGACTTCATCCACTACATTCCTACCTTCTTCATACTTCCAGAGGAATGAGGTACTAGTTCTGAAGGCCTGTGTGGGGAGGATGCAGAAATAGTGAAAACCAGTTTATAATGAACACCTCTTCGATGAATATTTTTCAGGTGAACACCTCTGTCTGGTAAACACTCCTTTTGATGCTCTGATGCTTGATGAACATATCTGTCTAATGATCAGCTTGTTCAGTGAATACCTCTAATGAATATTTTTTCTTGTGAACTACCGTGTCTTGTAAACAATGCTGGTTGGTGATCCCACAGTCTGGAGAACACCTTGTCTGGTGAACACTTCTGTCTTGTAGACACCTTTGTTAAGTTCTTTTAGGACATACAAGCAGACATAGATAAATCTCCATTGACTTCTATGCTACCAGCACATTCTTGATTCCTGACCAAACCACTAAATCATCAGATCAGAATGAGGACTTACTGAGAAACAAGTATTAACTATACACACAAGTTTCACCATACATAATCTTAACACTTTAAACTTATCTAACCAATGAACATACATAATGTAAAACAAAAGTATATATCGGAAAACACTTTGTTACTACAGCAATGTCCCATACAAATGATGATTGGTGTTTTCAATCTGTTTATACCCATTTTTGTTGAATTCTGGACGTTTGGTTTTAGTTGGCGAACTTTTGGTTGATGATGATCGTTTAAATCCACCGTCGTCACTGTCCGAATCATCATACCTTGGGGAGAGGATTGTATTGAATCTGTGCATGGGGGACCAAGGTTTGGGCCCCTCGAGATAGGGGGATGCATCAAACCCTCCTTCCTGGTCTGTGGATTCAAGTTCGGGGTCAGCGTAATATCCAGACTCATATGCCGTTGAAACTGACTCACTAATTATCGATTCTGTGTCTGTTTGTCTTTTTGGTATATATAGTTTTTGGGTCGGTGGAGAGTAATCCTTTTTCTTGCGAAAACGAGGTTTGTAAACTTCCTTTGGTTTTTCGTCACATAGTGTTGAATCTGAGCTATAGATGGTGTTTGAGCTGGGAAGATGTGGTGTACTTTTTGATAAATTCCTTGAACTTCCCGACATAAGCTGATATCTTAGATCCTTAGTTGGGGTTGATGTGACTAAGTTCCTCAATTTTGATATGAGTGGTGTCTCTTTCATTCCTTCTAAAATTGCCTTCTTTTTGTTTTTATGAGGTTTTGAGCTTGCTTGATCGATTAAAAATGACGCACGTTGCATAATCCTTTTCAGTTTATGTCTCAGTTCACGATCACACAGGTCTAATGGAGTATTACGGCTCTTATTTGTGATATCTAAATCAGCTCCCATGGCAACTAAAAACTCAGCGATATTGTCTTTGCCTTCTGCGGTTGCTAAATGAAGTGCAGTCCTGCCTATACGGTCTTGTTTATTAACTTTGGCTCCATTTACCACTAAAAATTCTATCAGGCTCAACTTGTCCCCATGGATTGCTTTATGCAGTGGGGTCTGCCCATGAATGTCTTTAATGTTGACACGAGCGCCACACCATATAAGGAGTTTAACAGTGTCTGCGTGTCCACCGTGACATGCTTTATGCAGCGCTGTTTGGCCACGTCTATCTTGTATACTAACTTTGATGTGACGCTCAATATTAAACCGATTAATCAAGAATTTCACGGTGTCTGTATGCCCAGCTTCTGCTGCAGCATGTAACGGAATACGGCCATCAGATTGCGGTAAATTTGCACGAACTTTGGTCTTGAACAGAAATTGTAATATATCTGTATATCCTAACCATGAAGCAAGATGCAAACAGGTTCCCCTGCCATAATAATCAATGGGAATCTCCGCTGAGATGATATCACGGAGCTTCCCTTTATCGTCAATCTGTGAGAATAGACCCTCGATACTAAGGCAGTCATTGGATTCAATGTAGTATGCGAGGTCTCGGGCAAATCTCGCTGTTGTTGGTGTTAGTGATGGGCTACACGTATAGGGGGCACATATACAAGCCATGGTTGTTATAGTAATCTCATGTAGCTACGGGAGCATTTAGTATGGTAATTCATACATCTGGAGCATTCTGTTTGTGATAGTCATTGCATGGTCTTTTTAGGTATTACTTAGTCCACGTCTGAAAATACAAAAAAACGAAAGCAATTAAAATTACTTCGTCATATTGACTTATTGCAATAAAAAAGCCTTAATGCATATTCCTCTAAATCAATAAACTTACACTTAAAGCATGAATAACAATATTGCTTAGTTTTTCTTAAATACAGCGCAATAAGTACAACTTTCTTTAATTGAAAATTTTCCGATCCCCTTACTTAACAATTCCAATTCCAATACACATTATATCTCCGTTCCTGCAACATTTATCGCATTTGTTTATCATGATGAATATTCCTTTGATAGATTTCTATTGTCAACACCTATAGTTACTGTTATTTTGTAGTCAAATAATAATAAGAGGGATTCTGCACTTTTGAGTGTATTCCATTGAAATAACAGCTAAAAGAAACAAACCATAATTTGAGTTATGTTTCAAAATGGCATAATATTAATCAAAACGGAATTTTTTATTTAAATTTTCATATTATATATTTTTTTTAATTCAAGAAAGAAAATACAAACGTTCACCTAACTGAATAGAATTATTTCATTAAATTTATATTTCAATAAATGTACAATATATAATGAGCCTACCATAACACCAAGCGCATTCCAGAAAAGCAATTCAATAAGTTTATCTAATAAAGCTGCTCTACAAATATGATTCATCAATAATTATTGAGGCAATTAACCCTGAACTTCAGTTGTACTTGTCTAGTCTATTGTATATTGAATGCTGTCTGAACTTGCTAAAGCTTAACACATTAAGAGATGTTCATAATATAAGGCCAAAGCTGCACAAAATAGGACATGGGATTTGCATATTCCAAGCTGTTTCCTTGTTAGGAGTTCTTATTTGTATTGAGAAAAATGACACAAGGTGTTCCTATTCCAAGGTATTCCCTTGTAAGGTGTTCTTATTTGTATTGAGAAAAATGACACAAGGTGTTCCTAGTCCAAGGTATTCACAGTCCACAGGTATTGTTCAAAAATCCATGGTTCATTAGCTCTATGTTAACAGTAAAACCTGCTGATGTGAACACCTTTCCCTGAGGGGTGGGGAGGAGGGTGGGGGAGGGGGAAGAACTGTTCCCCAGTTAATGTAAACACAAATTCTATATTTTACAATGGTTTACAATGGGAAAGTGCATTTTGTCGGTGTACAGCTATTTTGGACTGTAGGATCCCTGTTGCGCTCAAATGTTATAAAGACAAGATACTCTATAACATGATAAGTACATGTATTGCAAATGAATTTAATCTACCTAAGTGCATTATTAAAGTGCTTTCCTCCAAATCATTGTCAATTTGATAAAATCCTATTATCATACATATTTGGATTCATATGGATTAGAATATACTGTACTGTTCGGGCATTTGAAAGTACATGTAAAATAAAACCAATATGGCAAAACCCTGACCAGACTTGATGCAAGAAAAAAGTCTCTCAAAAATCAGAAAATCCAAAAAGAAATCAGAACCCCCCTTGGCCAAAAATTCTTTCAAAATCATGCAATTTTTCACCATTCTTAGCACTTTTTAAGTGATTTTGGCCATTTTTAGACCAAAATTGTCACAAGTGACCCCCCTGGAATTTTTCAAAAAGTGAACCCCTCTTTGCAAATCCCGGCTACGGGCATGACCTTGGCCAAAAATTCTTTCAAAATCATGCAATTTTTCACCATTCTGAGCACTTTTTAGTGATTTTGGCCATTTTCTTTTACCAAAATTGTCAAAAGTGAACCCCCTGCAAATTTTTAAGAAGTCAACCCCCTTGGCAAAAGCTGGCAATGGGCCTGCAAAATCTATGTTTTATTCAAAGTTTGCATTAGATGATGTCCAAAATCGCAATTTAACTTTTGATATTTGAAGATTTTCTTGGACCAAGTACATGTACAGGGAAGGGACCAAGGTTGCTAAACTTGTTGATTTCCTTGTGGTAATATTTATATCCTTATTGTTGAATGTTCGCTACAGGAAATACTCTAAATCTGAAGCATCTGTGTACTTTTTTAAACAAAAACTGATTTCGGGTGAAAGTTTGAAACAATTCAAATATTAGAACTTTGTCATGAAGTCAAGTGATACTTGATGATTTTAGATTTTAAAAAATGTCGTTAGGCCTAATTTAGTGACAATTTTTCTAATTTTATTTTTAACTCATCCAGACTCTACACATTTCCAAATTCTCTGTCCAGGCAGAGGAAATACCTTGTAAATCCCCCTCTCCTTATCAACTGCTGCTGTTCAACGACATTTAGTGTATCTTCCGCCTACATATCTCATGTATTTACTTAGTTATCTCAAAAATGCAAACTTTAACAGTTTTTCAAGTGGCTTCTACTTTATAGGCTATTTACTGGGGCTATTTAATTGTAAACGGTTGATAAAAACACATACTGTTCACATTTCTGATTGGAGTTCTGCAATTTTTCTGTAACATTTTTAAGTGAGTCTCACTGCATAAAACCATGAAAAATCAAAAATAAGAACATTCCATAATAATTCAAGAGTTATTCCTGTGGAGTAAGAGGATTGCATTACATGAACTTGTAAAGATCATACAGATTTACATACAACCTCAGAGCCTAACACTTAAATACAATATTTGTAAAATTGCATAAATCAGGGTGGGCTTTGTTGTGATTGATCTCCAAGTGACATTTTATGAAGTTACCACCTAGATTTATTCCGATATTTCTTCTACCTCTTTTCTGGTGTATTGCAAACTTAAAAAAGAAGGAACGATGCTTACCTTGAAAGCATTATTGCATTAAATTGAGTATCTGATACAAGTACAGAATCATAACTCCTTGTGTAAAAGATACCTGTGTACATTGCATGGGTCCAGTGTCATTTCAGAACTTGAGCAATATTACAATTAAATTGAAACAATCAACATACAATAAGGGATATTATCAACAATCATGGAAAAATAAAGTTAATTTCATTACGGTTTACCCCCCTCTCCTCATCTAAGAAACTCAAAAAGTTGATTTGTCTTTCACTTGAATATTAAAAAATCAACACTATTCTCTTACAAATCATTGTTTACCCCCTCCCCCTAACAAAACTTCGTTATTCCACAACTGTTGATAATTGATGGTATGAATATTGTTTGTATGTCCTGGGTAGGTCACTGATATACTATATGGTTGTATATGTCTTTGGACACATGCTGATTTTATCTATCAAGTGATATTCATACCATCAATTATCAACAGTTAGTTTCATTAGTGGGAGGGGGTAAACAATGATTTGTAAGAGAATAGTGTTGATTTTTTTTAATATTCAAGTGAAAGACAAATCAACATTTTAAAATTTTATCGAACCATAACAAAAATAACTTTGTTTACCCTTTGCATTCGTTTGACTTCACTTCTTAAAGGAATATTCCTTACCAAACCATCTCTCTCCTCATATTGTAGCTATAACCACATATATGCTTGCCATGTTTAGCAAAACACGCAAAAATGTTTTGATATGGTCAAATTTGATCACTTAGAAATGTGATGCTCAATTCCAGTAAGCTGCCATCTTTTAAAATTTCACACAGGAAGTGATGTCATCGACTCTCAACTTTGCATATAGCATTAGGTGAGGAGCTATTAAGAATTACAAAACCAGCTAAATATTCTTTTTCAACTTTGTATCTTATTTAATCCTTCTGAAAATCTCTTCTTTTATTCTAAGTTGACAAGCCCTGAAAATATTTTTGCACAGAAAGTAATGATCACTTGTCTAGAAGTGATTTTGTGCTATTTTCCTATACTGTTATGGGCAAGGTTATAGAAGTTGAGAGTTGATGACATCACTTCCTGCAAGAAATCTTAAAAGATGGCAGCTCACTGGAAATAAGCACTAGATTTTTAAATGATCAATATTGACCATATTAAAACATTTTCCCATGTTTTGCTAAATATGAAAACTATATATATGATTATAGCTACCATATCAAGAGAGAAAGGGTCTGGCAAGGAATATTCCTTTAAAAGAGAGCTTCATCTCCACTCTTTCAAACTAAAATAAACCTGTGAACTCACCGCGCCAATCAGTGTTCGTCAACCAAATCTGACCGACGTTCTATATATGGTCATTCCTTCTGACGTCATCGTTGAGCCCGGAATTGACCAATGACATGCGCATATTTAATTAGATCTCATTTCCACAACTGTTGATAATTTGACACCTTCCCTAACAATCAGTTCCACCAGTATCTCTTTCCACAATGCATTGAATATTGAATACCAATGTATACCATGTCCCTTTTGTGTTCTGATTACAGCTGTGAGACTAATTTTGGCAATTTTGACAGTAATTAAGCTTGATTCACCTAATTAGAAACATATCATTGGGAGATAACATTTAAATAATATTAATTAAGACCAGGATGTCTGCATCTACATCTACTTAAAGAGCTACAAAACCCTGTGTATATTTTGAGATTTTTATTGCTATCACTCACTTGTGGGATTTGCAACTTTCAAAAAAGAATTAGGAAGTCAGTTCGGGGATGGAGGGGGGGGTGTATTGATCTGTATTTGTGAAGAAAATTGATAGATCTTCATCATTATACACATACATAAAAACTTTGTATAGGTTACAGTGTATTTTCATCTTCACGCATTCTTCATTTATACCAGTAGAAATGATAAATGCCATAATAATTGATTTTAAAATTTTTGTTGTACAGAATTAAGAATTGCACATGATCATGTTATGTTGGGGAACACGAGAGGGCATTGTTTCAGGGTTTTATGAATAATTCAAAAGGATTCCAAATTGATTTGTCAAATGTGCAACAGCAAGGGGCAATTTGTGTTGATCGAACAATATTATGGGTTCAAATATTCAGTATGGGTAGATTATGGGTTAGTTTATAATTATTTATTCTGAAAATCAAACTCCAGGCTTTCAAGCCACTTATACAATTTTTTTCTAATGTTTTCATTATTGCTTAAAATGTTTAAATATTTCTATAATTTAGAAGTTGTTATTTTTTTGTATATGGGGTCCACTTTTGACCACATGTTTTATTTTGAATATTTGCCATAATATTTGCCAATTCAATGACCATTTCACATGTGGGTAGCCTCAATGCTCTAGGCCTTTCATGTTTCACACTCCACACTGTCAACTCATTTATCAAGCAGCTTTATGATTATGAGTGAAGCATTTTTTGAAGGTGATCATTATTTGAAATATTTGAGGTAAACCGTGGGAGTGGGCTATGAACTTGTGATATTTAAATAGGATTACATGTATGTTGGATTTTAAACTTTTCTTTCTTACCCTCCATCAGGCCCGTTAGCCAGCTTTTGCCAAGGGGGATTCATTTCTTAAAAAAATGCAAGGGGGAGGTGGGTTCACTTTGGTACAAATATGACCATTATTCCCATTCCCATTCTCATTATTTACAAGACTATCTTTAAGTATTTCACATTTCTAAAGGCAATAAGGATGATCCTTCAATTATAACCATTTCAAAACTTTTTTTGATCATCCTGTATAGTAAGAATTGATGAAAGACTCATAGCATCTTTCTATTTCATCAACTAACAATATAGATTCCCTAAATCTCCTTACCTGAGAAAAATATATATATTTATCATGTTCTGTCAGCCAATTTCCTTTTAGTGATGTACCTTTGTAGTTGAAGTATACATGTCACAGTCTAGTTTCACATTCCTTTCTTACATATAAGTAAATGACCACTTCCTTCTACTTTCATGTTTGTATAGTTGATTAATTTAGATCTCAAATGATAATATTGAATTTGGTCCAATCCTTTTTGTAAACGTTTAGATATTTCTTGGGACATGTAAGGTTAATGTGTGCCAGAACATGAATTTTGTCATTTATAAATTCGCTTGATCAGTTTATAGCCCTAGTATTGTATCAGTGCTTCCCTCTGTCCCCTGCCACTGATTATCTATTTCCTATCTGAACCTGTATGTAAACTTAGTTCGAGCGAATCTCCTAGCCTATAATTCTTTAAAAATCATGCAATTTTCACCATTCTGAGCACTTTTCAAGTGATTTTGGCCATATTTGGGCTACAGTTATCTGAAGTGAACCCCTGGAATCTTTTTAAAAATGCCCCCCCCCCCTTGGCAAATTCTGGCTACAGGCCTGTTTAAACCAGTCTCATTGTTTCGAGTGAACATAGGCCACATCATAATCCATCAAGGTATGACTGCAAGGAAACATTGGTTTATCATTACGACTTGCCATGTCTCTCAAAATCATGCAGTTTTCATCATTTTGAGCACTTTTCAAGTGATTTTTGGACAAAATTGTCAAATTTGAACCTCCTCTCCTGGAAATAAAAAACTGAACCCCCCTTGGCAAAAGCTGGCTGCACTTATCTTATCCCGTTCCCGGACTATGGTCCTGTGAACATCTCAATCTTTTGCCTGTGCGATTACAACATGGGAGAATTTTTTACTCATCTTACACTTCAGATACCTACTTCAATAGATTCCTTGGTAATTTAGCATTCTTTTCGTGTAGTTGAATCCACAATTGTCTGGGTTTATCGGCAGAACGAAGACATTTTCGTTTTTGATCGCAATATTTGCGTGTAACATTTAACTTATTTCAACCGTCATATTCCTCCATATTGGTACTTCCGGGCTACATCCGGGACAGCCAAACGGGGGATTCCCCTTTTAAATCCAACCGCCATTTTGAAAAGTGATGGAATCTCTCTAGATGAAAGAGAGAAATGTTCCCGTTCTGCCGATATACCCAGACAATCGGCGGTTCCAATATATTAGAAGTTACATCTTGAGTTCTATAATGCATTGAGGTAGGTATCTTAAGTGTAAGGGGCGTAGATAATTCTCCCAAGTTGTAATCGTACAGGCAAATGAATGCGCTCAGTGCAGGACTATAGTCCGGGAACGGGATAACATTTATCCATCTGCCTTATTCAATGCCCTAATGGATCATGATAGAAAGGGTTGCCATAAGAAACATACAGGTATTGATGTTTTATTTATAAATGACATGTCTAGCCTTGTCAAACATATCTTTTTTATTAAGTTAACTTAACTTGGTGAGAGTTGGTATCTATTTGAATGTATTTGAAGTTGATCCATGTGCATATAAAAACTTCAGAGTGTGATTTATGAAATTACATTTGAAATTATTTGACGTCTCCTGTCTAGCAAAAAGGAGTCGAGCTTTACAAATCAGGAAAACAGTTTTCTGAGTTTTCTGAGTTTTCTGATACTTTTTGGTAAATTTTGAATTCAGAAAAAATTAAAGGTATATTGAGATGTTAAAATAATGATGATATGATGAAAAAACGAGAATGTGTGATGACAACAAATTAAATTAAATGAAATTTGCCGTTGGGCAGTTGGTTGTCTTCGGCTGAACCAATAGAGTAGTTAGGTACCATTAAATTATGTTAAGTACCATTATTTAAGTATTAAGTACTGAAATAAGCTTTACTCTAATTAAAGGTAACAAGTTGTAGACTATTGCCTTTTGGGCAAAAAAATATTTTCCCATGCATATATCTATACTTAGTCAATGGGACCTTTTTAGCTAACAAAGTGAGCACTATTAAACATGTTTTAAGGAATGTCAAAGAAGCAGAACTGAGGATGATTTAACCTGCTCAAAGTAACCTTTGACTGAAACGTTAGTGCAAAAGATTTCAAATTGATTTAATGAGTCTACAGTTTAGTAAAATGCAATACTGTGTATTCATATTTCACAGATATTATATGATAGTTCAGATGAAGCTGTTGCTTGCAGAATTTATCGCTGAATTTGGGATTTCACGCAGAATTTGGCACAGAATTTGATTTTTTCATCCAGAATTTCTGCACAGAATTTGACTTTTTCTAATGCAGAAAACTAGTATTTGTGATAATAGAAGAACCATTAATTTCTCAATAGGATGTGATCTATCTAATAGTTAGCAGACAATATACAATATAGACTTATATATTGATCTAAATATAGCAGCTTTGTGAAATGCACCAAATGACAGATAGTAAATCATTATTAATGTACAGGATAATCCCATACATGTATATAGCCAGCATATGTATATTTCCCATATATGTATATGTTTGACATGATACATGTATCTACTGTATATAACCCACTCCTTCATTCTTCCTCAGCTTATACAAACACTTTTTCTCCAAAACAAATAATAACATAATCTGTTAATATCAAGATCCTATTATTGTTAAAGCATCATCGACTGAATCTTGAATTTTTTGTACTCTAATCATAGGTGATTACAACTAAGAACTATTTATATATTTTAATTAATATGGCATCCAGGCCTTAATTATACATGCAATGAATCACATTTCCAGACCTGTTTACATTATCAGCCAGTACAAAAATGATGAACTAATTGTAATTATTCATCGACATACAGTAGATTGCTGAGGAATCACATGCAACCAAATGTTTTTATATCACCACTGTGAAGGTGACATTTCCGTGGCTGCCGCCGCGGTGGTGTTTGGTAATTGGTGTATGGCGGTCAGTGTCTGTAAAAATGGCAGGTAGTGACATTTTGCCCGTCAGTGGTTTGATTAGTTTATGTGAATCCATAAATAAAGTTGAAAAATAGACTCTCAAAAGAAACCATGGTTTTGATCATGAGGTTCATGTCATGTCTTCCTTCAACATTGGGCACAATGGAAAGAAGTGAACTAAAGACGGTTCATATGTTTGAATCAAAGGAAAATTTGAGGTGGTTTCGCCTATAATTTATTCACATCAATCACCAGGCCCAATTTTTGGTTTTTGGGGCCCATATTTTTCTGACTTGAAATGTGCGTCTGTCCCTGATAATATTCATCTTTATAGTGCCCAGACCAGGTTCATGTATTTGTTTTTCAATTCCGGACAATCCATATGGGAGAGAGATTACACTTTGGCTAAAAGATACAATGTTATATTGAGAGACTTTATTATCACAGTTTGTACAGTATCTAGGTTTCAACAATGCCACATTTTGATCTTGGCTGTGTTCCATTGTGTATTACATAACTCACAGTGTATATTACCCTTAACCACTTAACATCCCTTTTACTAATGTTACAGTCTTAATTCTTAACTCCAGCCTAAGTTACTTTTCCCACAGTGCAATAAGACGTTCCTTTCAATATTTTTTATGAAATTAAGGAAAAACATTTTTTGTTACGATTTCAAATTCTCATACATTTTCAGAAAAAATTCACGACAAGCCCTGACCTTGGAGTGATTTATTGCAAGGTCTCAAAGTTGGGTAAATCCAAAGTTGTAGTGTTAAATCAAAAAATCTATTCAAGTTCAACATAAATACTTTAGCTATACTACTTTAAGATATTATAGTTTGTATGTGCTGTTCACAATTTTATACACAGACCAAAGTTTTGAAAGTCTTTGAATCAGTAAAAATACCCTTTTAGAGGTATTGTTGTCGCCCACATGTTTACCTTTTGAAATACAGGTCTTTGACTTTTATATTCAAAACCTATAATAAATATAATTTGGTGTAAACATTCTGCCATTGACATGTGTACATTTAACACTGAAAACCATTTAAATGAAGTTGACATGGTGGCATAAATCATAGACACTAGAATCTGTCACTCCTGCTCAAAGCCGGAAATCGGTCCAAAATCACCATCCAATAAATTATCCAGAAAAATGAAGGAATAGTTAATGATGTCTGATGGCCTAGGTTCAGAGATATGGACCAAAGCCAAATTTTATGTTTGACCAGATTCAGTTTTAAAGAAATAGTCATGAACACCCGTACCTTGTCTATTTGCCAAATGTGAATGCATCTTGGTAGTGTTGTGTGAGTATATCCTAAATGTCACGTCCAAATGGAGATCCAAACTTTGAGCTGCCACTAGCTTTCTTTGGAAATATGAAATACTAAGGAGAAGTCAAGATGTATTCAAAATTAATAATTGTGATTTTAATCAATTTTATTAATGTGTTGTTTTCGTGTAGGATAGTATCCAAATATTAGTTGTGATCAGAGGATAGAGTCTTAACATTTGATCAAAGAAAATATGAGTGTATTCTATTGCTTACAGAATGATGCTGTGTCTGTTGCCAATTCTGGTTCCTCGTTAATAATATCATTTCCTGCCATGGATAGTTTTACATGTAAATTGATCCACTCATTATTTCAATTAAGTTCAGTAGAGAATGCCTCTAAAAGGAACTTAACAATTTATGATTTATCAGAGTCTCTCTTCATCTATTCATCTGAAGCTATTCCAAGGGATTGTAGAGAACTTAACATGTAATCTCTCCACTTCTAAAATCTGTTAATTAGATATAGCAAGGTGTGAACCTCTCACCCCTCCGTCATTTACATCTTCATCACTTATCAAAGGTGAATGCAGGCCCGTAGCCAGGATTTCCAAGGGGGGTTCACATTTGAAAATTTTGGCCCAAATATGGCTAAAATCACTTGTTAAGTGCACAAAATGGTGAAAAACTACATGATTTGAAGGAATTTTTGGCTAGGGGGGGGGGGGGTCGCCTGAACCCTGCGAACCCCCCTGGCTACGGGCCTGGAATGAGACCATTTACAGACTTGATGCTTCTTGAACACAGGAGAGATTGGTCATGTCTTATAATTCATATTGTAATTATTGATTTGTTTGGTGACATTTTTGTGACCTATTAGAGTAATTAAGATCAATTAATTATTGGTTTATATGCTTGTATTTGGTTCAGTGGTCAGGCAAGGTGCAATGTAGAGATACACAAAGATACACCTGCAATAGATACTTTAATGACTACAAGGCTGGCAAAATAGAATGAGAAAAGATTCCTATAAAGATACGTGTTTCTATTCCAACAAGCATAGTTCAATCCGACATTGTATTTTTTGATAAAATTGAAAAGGTAACATTCTTTTGACCAGACAATAATGCATGCATTTCATTAGTTCATAATCTTTGTTTCTCTTTTTGATACACCTACTGTAAGAAAAGTTATATGATCTGCAAACATGAAACCTTAAGACCAGCATAAAATGCCACATCCTCTGAATGCAGGTGTCCAGAACTCTTCCACATGATTCTTCCTAATGCACGGGGAGTCAGTCAACCCTGTCCCTATTATGCCCTGTGTATGGTATATTTACTTCGAAGTTCAACACAAATGTTAAATTGATTAACCTTGTTGAATTTTCATTGTATGAAATTAAATGTTATAATATATGAACTTGAAATAAAAAATGATTAATAAAAAAAAAATTATACCCTGTATTTTATATAGGGAATAATATATATATAGAGAGAGAGAGGGGTGGGGTAAGGCAGGCCTGTCAACTGTCCCGCAATTTGCGTATTTGTCACGCATTTGCTGAAGAATTTGAAGTCACGCCAGTTATTTTTGCGTGACAGAAAATGTCACGCAAATACGCATTTTACCTGGTAATTGTCAAGCAAAAATATTTCTGGAGAAAATTTTCTAAAAAAGATCGTCTACACAGCAAAAATACGAACGACGGGAAAAAAACGTACGCATTCCGTTCGGACTTTTCACGCGAATTACGGATATGTCACGCATTCCCTTCGAAATTTTTCGTACCTACCCCCCCCCGTTGATGGATGTTTGAAACGCGAGCGTAGGGAGCGTGAAAATTTTGAGGTGTTCAAAATTTGGCAAGATGTAATAAAATCTAAACCAAGGTGTTCAAAATTTGGATCAAGGTGTTCAGATTTGGACCAAGGTGTCCACATTTTGAGGGGAGGTGTTCAACATTTCCAAGTCACTCATGTTAGGTGTTCCCAAGTTGACAGGCCTGGGTAAGGGGTTCAGAATACTGAACTTGCTGGACTAGATACATTTCAATATAGTTTCTCGATCGTCTATAATCTATCTCAAGTCTCTTAATCTTTAAAAAGAACCCTAATACATTTCATGATGATTGTCAAAATTAATTCACCGGGTTGTTAGCTTATCCATCCTTGGTCCAAGGGTATTTCACTTCTTTCTGACCATGAAGGATGTAGCTATTGTAGCTTATCATATCACAGGAAAAGCTAATCAGAAAGTTGTCAACTGTCAAACCTACCTCACACCTCAGATGATAAACACCATACGCACTAGTTATCTTAAAATCAAATGGCTTCGTCTACTTATCTGCTTATATATATCATCCAGTGTTAAACTTCCACATTGGTTGGAAATCCCAAAATAAATGTCACAATGTCCTAACAGTTTTAACGGTGATTTCTAACTCCAGGTATTAATGATTTTCTACTCACCTGTAGTCGTAAGAACTTTGACGATAATCATCTCGCAATTCAAGTTGTTCTCCTTGGCCTGATACTGATCGATATTTGTCCTGTGTCGATATATTCGGTTTAACATTATATACATTGAAGTTTCACTTCACATTTATTTGTAAAATGACATAGGTCAACATTCCATTCTGAACTATGAATAGCTTTGTGCTATTGGCTAAATAAAACTCCAGGCAGTTGCTGGTAGTCAAGTGCAATGTATATCAATTTCCATTTGTTCAATTTCTCTCGAAAATTTGAATGATTTTTCTGATTTTATTCTATTTTTACATAATTTAGAGTCTCGATTTCATTTCTCAAATTTCTTCCTTAAAAATTTATTCTGTTAAACTTTATTTGAGTTTGAAAGCATTGCTTGATGTTATTTTGTTGATAGGGAAAGTTCACTTGTACTTGAATGCAGGCAGCTCTGCCTGGGGAATGAATATAGGATTAAAGACCCCTTGGCAGCATTAAAAATTACAGGTGAATGGCAAAGGATGAATCATGCAGGTTAAGCAATAGGATGTTGATTGCTGGACTTGATTGGATTCTTTTGTTATTGGTCAGATTAGTGAATCAGCTTTACTTAAAAATTAGCATTTGGACAAAGGTTTAATTTCATTTGATGAATGCGAAGTTGTGATCAATATTTTCTGTGTCATGTACAGGTGAAAGGGTTCAACTGACTTCTGTGTGCATGCCACTATATCTCTTTAAAAGATCGCTTTTACTGAATAAACAGGTATTTATTTAAATGCATTAAATGCGTGGGAAATTGATATAATGAACTTACTTGAATGGTTTAATTCTAAGTTTTTATTTCCTTGGCCATGAAAAATTCAAATGGATATATTGGCTATGCACATATAAGCCTGGATTTGTCCTGTGGTCACATGTGGTTTCATTGATTCCCTCCATCCCTTGGAAAATATCATATCGGTCATCAGTATAAAACTCATATTCCATCCTTCCCAGTAAATAACTTCTACAGATAAATATTTCTATTTCATCGACTTGTCTAAAACATTAGAACTGGAATGTTGAGTCATTTTATCTCTTAATCAGTTCATAATTATGATAAAAAGTAATTCTTCACTTTTTTTAAAATAAAATCCAGGTTATTGTTAAATCAGGTGTTTTCACATCAAATCAGTCAGACACTCATAATGATTGAAAGCCCCAAATGCACAAGTGGAGCATTGGTCAATGAGGATACAGGCCACTTCAAAACAAAACACTTCTGTTTCAATTTTCATCAATGAGGGGTTTCAGTGGTTTCATTTTATTAGCAGCAGGCAACAGGCAATTTTCACCTGTTATTTTTACAAAATCGCCTGTTGTTTTTAGGGACTTTTCAACTTTTTATGTTAAATTTATGATTTCCATTAATTTTGCCCATAGGCTGAGGTCGATAGATATAATTTTTTTAAATAAAGATGGCATGGTAATCGCTCTGTGTTTATTTAGAAAAAGATAATACTGGATTCTGTTGGTGCTGCCATCTTTATATCGGCCCAGAACCTATGATTTTGCCTGTCGTTTTCATTTATTTAGCCTGTTTTGAGACATTCTGTATATACACCCCTCTATGAATAAAATCAATATTATTGTTAAATAGGTGAGGAGGTATTCAAAATGTGTAAAGCTAATCACTTCTGTTTTTTTTTATTTTACATTAACCTCTTGAATACCAGCCTCTAAAAAGGGTTTGAAACCAGAGCATTTTTCATTTTCTGCTAGTTTTCTGGATATTTACATCTAAAAACACTATGTTTGATATTTGATTTCATAAGAAGAGTAAACATAGACCCATTACATACATTCTAAAACATTAGTTGTGAAGATTGGATAAAAAATGCCAAAGTTAGAGCAGTTTAAGTGAAAAATTCTGTGACAGATATATCTGTCGCTCTGGGTTCCAAATGGATTTTATTTGTGACAGATATATCCATCATTCTGGGTATTCAAGAGGTTAACAAGACCCTTTAAATAATATTATTAAACCATCCATATACATGTACACCCCTCTGCTTTTATACTTTCAGTTGCTTACGACTATGGAGGCATTGTGATGAACAGTAGACGTGATGGATTGGAAATTACCAATAAAGCAAAGAGAACTGGCTCATTAAAAGACCCTCATTGGTAAGTAGGGCATCCTCCAAACACAGGCCTCCAGAACTTACTGGATGACATCTGGAACCATTTCGGAGGATGTAAGAATGGTGTCTTATAAATAACATCCTAAACGCCGGTCTCAATTTGGATAGTTTATGTCGCCTGATATATGACTCTAAAAGCTATAAATCTGTTATTTTTTTTATTTGAACATAAAAACAATGATGTTGAAATTCTGTTAAATTATACATTTTTTTTATAATTTTGGCCAAAACACTTGAATTCATCCTCCGTTGAGCTTCATAAACTGAGATAAAATATGCCTGGATACTGAGATCTCAAATAACTTAATCTATAATGCTGTACATGTACCAGTATCATAATTACATAGGACAGAGGAAATATATTATATGGTAGGGTGTTTGATTATCAATATTCATACAACCCTATTCAACCATTCTAACTTAGTATCAATTTGATATCCAGTGCTGCCATCTTTAAATGAGCAAGTGGTAAATTTGATGCAAAAATTCACAATTTGTATTTGTTATTTTTAGCTTACATCCTGGAGATCTGTACCTATACACCAGAAAGCCATTGTTTATAATAGCAGATAGTGACAACAGTGCCGCTTTTCAGGTAAGATTTTGACTAACATGTTACATAACATGGGCGTCAGACCATATTTCAAAAGAGAGGTGCATTTTTTCCAGAAAATATAGGTAGTAGGACAATTTTTTGTGTGGTCAAAGGCTGTGTATGTCGGGGGGTCAAGCGGCATATTTCCCCTCTTACACTCCATGCACCCCCCCCCCTTCTGACGCCTACGCATAATGATCCCCAGGAATTATTGTCCCCATTTCAGTAGGTTTTTCCAGGAACCTGATGATAACAAATTTTTTGGGCAAGTGGATACTTTGAATGGAATAAGTGATCCCTAGAGGCAGACTATATATATACTGTATATATACATGTAATATTACATGTTCACATTCAGTGTACATATTCTTTTAAAACATAAAGCCTTACCTCTCTATTACCTCATTTCATCACCAGGTACAGTAGGGAATTGCCGAGGAACATCATTCTGATACACATCGCATCCAAAAACCTGTCTGTTACAATGAGTTACATGTAGCTATATCATAAAATGTTTTAAGATATATTACCTAGTTTCACCTTCACCAAGTAGCTGCAGTAGGGAATTGCCAAGGAACATTGGAAATTACACCAAATCTTGAGAAAACAAACTCCCCATCTAGTATACAATGGAAAAACAATGTCAAAACTCCCATTCCCTTCCCTCATTGCATTTGCTATGTACATTATAATGCAATCTTTGTGAGTTAGCTATATCATAAAATATTTTCGTTGACAAGTATTGTATTATACATGTAGTAAATATTCTCCCATCATTTCAGAACTTTCCAAACTTGTTTGGCCAGCCTCTAATATGTATTCTCTGATCATTTCAGAACTTTCCAAACTTGTTTGGTCAGCCTCTAATATGTCTGCTCTCACCTCTTCACCTCCCCCAAACCATGCAAGGTAGGTACAGGTACCTTTTTCATGTAGTATCAGAGGCCCGATTCATGAAAGCTTCGCAAGCTTGCGGAATTCCGCAACTCCCTGCGGTACGGCTATTTCCAATTCACAAAAGGGCCGCAAAGTCAGCATCACCGCAGATATCTTGCGGTACCGCGAGAATTACGTCATTATCGTGCGGTACCTCCGTACTTACCGCAAGTCACTCTTTGAAAATTAAGCGTAATCAATCCCCTTGAGAACACATTTAACATTAGCTTTAAGTGATGGAAATACGTACATGTGTATTTCATATATCATCCTTTCATCAGGACAATTTTCTAAATAAATAAAATAAAAATTAGAATGTGATATAGACGTTCAAATATGGATGTAAAAGCAATGTGTTATGAGTAGTTTTTAAGGTTTTCAATGTTGCGGAACACCGCAACTTCAATTATGTACATTTTGAATATGAATAATAAGTACCCTCTGGTAGCTATTTGTCATCGTCAGTCCATGAACACAAGAACGGTTGCCAAACTTATGGAGGGGCAGGGGCGGATCTGGGAATCAACAAGGGGGGGGGCCCAAATTTCAAATCTGAGAAAAAACGGCCCCTAAAACCCCAAAGTGGGCCCAAATTTTGAAATTTTGAGGCCCATTTTCTTCAAAATTTGGCCTAAAATTAAAAAATAAGGCCTTAAAACGCCCAGTAATGACCAAAAAGGCCAACTTTTTGGGGCCTGAAGGCCTTTTTTGGCCCAAAAATTTTTTTGGGCCCAATTTTTTTTTTCTGGGCCCACCTAAGGGGGGGGGGCCGGGCCCCCTAATCCGCCAGTGAGGGGAGTGTATCATATCTTATATCCATATCATTCTGCTAATTTCAATATCACCCCGGGAATATATTTTGAAGTAGATTTCGCTCTCGATTATGTTATAACTTTTATCATTATTCACCTGTCTAGATGATATACAACTCTGTAGCCACCGGGGGTTCGAGGGTTCCCCGGTCTAACTTTCCGAAAATTTCCCTGAGAGCCATTTCAGAAGTATATGGTGAGTTTACGGTGTTAAAAGATCGCTAAAATTGACCAATATATAAACAACACTGTAAAATCCCCAGAGGATCCCCCGAATTGAAGGACTCGTTTCCCCGAATATTTTTTCATTAGAAATTGTTAGTTATCGATCTAAACAAAGTATATTGCTTTAATGATAGATCACCATTTTTCGTATTAAAGTTGTGAGATTAAGGAGAAATGTTAAAAAGAAACAGATTTACGTGCAAAGAAAACCAGAAGATTTTTCTTGAATATTTCTTTCAATCATTATCAACTGATTTGAAATGATATTATATTAGTAGTATGGTGTGGAAAGCATCGAATCATAGATATTTATTGGGGGATGCAGGGAATTACAAAATGCGTCTCTTTTACCGCAATTTAGAGTAAATAATGATGAACTTATCATTCTAGATCCTAGGACGAAGAACAGCCAGACATGAAGCAAGCGTCGCTCGAATTTTTACAGATATTTTTGTTTCCAATGTTCTTATGAATAACTGTGTAGAAACAATTGAAGTCATTTGGGATTGCCTCTGTATATACTGGCTCCGTGGTTGTGGGTTTATCTCTTACCATCTTGAATGCGAAAGTGACGGCAGTTACCTTCGCTTGATATCGACCAGTGAGGAATTAAATTAGTCCAAACATTGTTTGAGATATACAACAGTACAATAGAATACAATGTGTTATTTTATTCCGATACTATAAGAAATTGCAGTTTAGATAAATTGACTGTAGGTCAATAAGACAATTTTATTTACAACTTTACTCAATTTAACCCATATCAGCAACAAATTCTAAATATATTATCTAACAGTACGTAAAATTATGGGTTCACGACGCCGATACTGGTGATCTAAGCTTACCTCCCTCACAATGCAATCCCATGCCTCATTCTTTTTTTAAGCGTGAGCAGATCACTTAGAGAATGCGTCAACACATCATACTTTTTTTCTATGATGTCCATCATAACTTCTAATTGAATACTGGAGAAAGCCTCCGAGCGTTGTTTTCCGACCTCGTCAGCCATTTTTTGAAGCAGAATGTCAACCCGAGGTCAAAATTAACAAGGGTCGCTATAAAGGGTCAAACTGACATAGGTGTCCTAAATTAGTGACACCGGTTAAGGACATGGCTTGCGGACACGGAGATAACATGCGGACACGCCCTGGATTTGCGGATAGCTTTGTGAATACGACGTAACGCAATAAATTGCGGACACGCAATAGGTCCGCAAATACATTGCGGACACGCAAGCTTGCGGAGCTTTCATGAATTAGGCCTCTGGCCTGTAGCCAGGATTTGCCAAGGGGGGGGTCAATTTTAAAACATTTCCAGGGGGGGTTAACATTTGACAATTTTGTCCCAAATATGGCTAAAATCACTTGAGAAGTGCTCAAAATGGTGAAAAACTGCATGATTTTGAAAGAATTTTTGGCCAGGGGGGGGGGGGTCGCCCGAACCCTGTGAACCCCCCCTGGCTACGGGCCTGAGTATGTCATATACCTAGTTAAAGATTACTGTAGTTTTTATTCAAATGATCTTTAATTAAAGTTATTTTGTCATACAGCTTATTTCTCAGAGTGAGCACTCTTAAACCTCCAGTTAACAAAAAGAGGATTGATGTTGTTTTAACTCTTTTTATGTTGCTTTGTGGGGGGGGGGGTCATAATGATGAGTTATGACGTGTAAGAAATACAAAATAAATGCATTAATGATTGGAATTTATGAACTATTTTTTCTCTTTACAGTTAATCAATGCATGTTTGATTCGTTGTTTTTGTTTCTTTTTCTAGATCAACACCAAAAAGGGAACCTATTCACTCTGTTCTTATACAGCCCTCTGACCGCATTCTGTAACATATGTAATATAGTGGACATTCCTATCCAAATGTGGGATAAGTGTCAGGTCCAGATCGACAAATTCATTGTGGAAGCAGGCCGAACTTTCTCAAGGTCAAGGTCGCTAGGTGTGTGAACAACTATGTATATGTGTTTGGTACTTTGGCATTAAAACTACTTCTAATATTGGTAGTTGAATGCAAGGTCAGATTGTATTTGGTTGTGATAATACCCCTTCATGATATTGCCCACGGGTATTATTTTACAAATATTGGCCCTAAGTTTTTAGTCAGTTACAAGTTGTCAATTATTTATACTCGTTTTTGCAAATGAATTATGCGATGGATTCATTGAAACTTTACACAATATGAACATCTTCACGAATTCCCGATTTCAGACCATTCATACATGCAGTTTTACGGAGATGACTTTCTCAGACTGATCCTGCTGAGGTTCATTTTCTGTAGTATAACTCTGACTCTGCATCGAGGCTTCAAGGTAATTATATTCTGTTATTTCTTTACTTTCATACTGCATCGGGGCTTCAATGTATTTAACACTGAACTTAATGGCATATGTTTTAATTTTCTTACAAGTTTTTTACACATCAATTCCTGGGGTGTCTTTATCATTATTATGTAAATATGTTAATATGATTTTAATAAATAAATAAAAAAATAAGTAAAAAATTAAATTTTATTTTAGAGTAATAAGAGAATTTGAGCATAAGAACCTTTGTTTAGATTAGCAATAATGTATCAGGCTTATTTGTATGTACAATTAAACACAAGCCTATAGGGTAGCAGGTTTAAGCTATTATACAATTAATTATTTCATGTATAATTCATGGCTCAGGCATTCTGTGAAGTCTATATACTGTATATTCACTACATGTATAAGTATAGAATTATTTTATTGTGGAATTTAGGGTAAAGATTTCTATCCGAGCAGCCATCCAATAATACCTGATGATGTACTCAACGTACAGACTTTACACAAAATAGTCCTTGACCTCGCATCTCTACTGGAAGTGCGTAGCGTATTCTCAGAACTGACCAACAGCGAATGACTTACATCAACCAATAGGAATTCTTCATCTCCATCGACTCAACATTCTAGAAGTGGAAGAAATGTTCTCCTTTTTGGAATCAAAACTGTTACAAAACATTGTTTACCAATTTTTCATTTTTGGCAACATATTTTCCCATTCGTAGTAGTGTTGGTTAGTGTCTTAAGCATTTTCAGATCATTAGCCAAAGGTGCACAAAATTTATTTTCTGCTATGAGGTCTGTAAGAAGTGGAAAAGCGGCCTTGACCTCTCATAAAAGGGGTCATCAAAGACCCCTTAAATGTCGGAAAGTAAATACCAAATGGGAAAATAATGTGTCAAAACCTTAGTATGATAAATATCTGTAAATATTTCTCCAATAAACTGATGTTTATATCACATATATAATTAAGATATAACAGCCTCATTATATATAAATATCAGGTTTAAAATTATGAACAGTTATTTATTTGAAAAATTCCATGTTGTGTATATTATATACATTTGATGTATTTTATGGATGTATAAACTTTATGTATTAGAGGTGAGTTGGATGACAGGAACCTGATAGCTATATTACTACACAAATGGGTCACTGGGTTTATTTGTAGTGGCTCATTATGGCCAACTATCCCACAAACTGTTGTAAATACTTAACCCACCCCATGATCTGAATGATCTCTGTCTGAATTGATCTGACTGGCACCTAAAACACCTCTACTATGTAAATGTATTCTTGTCTTTTCATAAATTCAAGTGTCTCCATGTTATCATGTTCATTTCAGTGATCATGTAAGAACAGGTTCCATTCAAAAATCTGATCGAGAGAATTATCTCATAGATAATGTCGTTTTATGATTTTTATTCTTGGATAGTCTTGAGAACAAATATTGAAAAATAATTCAATGAGAGCAGATTGAAAAACTCATAACTGTTGAATAATACTATCTCCTTTACATCTTCTCTCATTAAAGTTTCAGCTGGTCCAACACCATCATTCATTTACATGAATATCACCATAATATCGATATTATACAGTAATTATAACTTGCACCTTGTGAATCAAAGATTTACTTTGTTGATATAATATTGGTATATATCGTAGTAGTCGTCTCAGGATAATGAACCATTTTCGTTTTACAATATTAATATTTCATATATCAGTCTCCACCTGCTTATAATAGATATAAAGGACTTGTTATTTCTACTTCTGTCAGAGTTTATTTCGAATTATTCCCTTGACTGTTGATTTTTTACTCCTCTCTATTTCCTCTACTACCTTTGGTTAAGTTTTGGATTTTTTTATCACATTCCCAGCGTGCTTTTAACAGAGCTGAGCTAAAAAGAGTCGATAGTAAAGCAAAAATGGCCATTATGATGAATGTCATTCTTGAACAGTGCTCTCCAAAACAATTTTTGGAATCTTGGGGGCTATTATTTTCGTAAATCCAGCCAAAGATCTTTGCAAATGGAAATGCAGCTAACCCAACCAGTGTTAAAACTAGAGGTGTCAAGTATTAACCGGTTAACCGCCGATAATGCCTTGACCGGTCTGTGTTTTTATGGGCGGTTAGTTGACCGTGTATAATTCTGTGATTTCCCGCGCTTATTTTGCATGCTAATCCGTTTGGTTTTATGGTGTCAGTTTCACGTAAGCTACTCATACATGTCATAAGTCCTATAACTCCTTACAAACATCCAATCAGCAACTTTAATCCCTGCCATATTGCTTTCCCGCGCTTACTTTGCATTTTAATCTGTTTGTTTTTCAAGCGTCAGTTTCATGTGAGCTACTCATACATGTGATAGGTCCGATAATTCCTTACAAACATCCAATCAGCAACTATAATCCCTGCCACATTGCTTTCCCGCGCTTACTAACATAGAATAGAGTAAAGCTTGACGAACGTAAAAAATAAACGCCGATATATCATTTTTCCAATTTGTTTCAACTTTCAAGATCGAAGATGAAGATTTCCTTTGAAATTATCAGTTCAAATTTCCCGCCGGTTAACCGACTTTAACCGGTAAAAACCCCTGGTTAACCGGTTAATGCTCAAGCGGTTAATTGACACCACTAGTTAAAACCAATCCAAGTTTCTGTGAAAATTCGTTCATTCCAAAAAACTCTGATATGGTTATGGGTGTCATTACAGATATAAATCCAGTCGATACGCTAGACATTATAGAAAAACACACCAATGCTACGAAGCTTTGATTGAAAAATATAAGAATCATTTGAGCCACCATCATCAGAAAAGATAATAAAATAAAAAAGTTACAAGTACAAAATGGTCAATATCTTTTATTACAGCATTAATCCTAAAATATGAATTGCATTCTTAAAGAGCAAGCTCTCTCAGTTAATTTGACACCAGCAGATTAAAAATTTTTCCATGGTTGGCTACACAGGACTAGATTTAATTGAATCCTGTAACATCTGATTGGTGCATGCAGTTATTTGAAATAGAGTTCAGATAGCCTGGAATCGGACACACCTTGCCTAGCTATGTGTGAATAATTGCGCATTTAACTAATTAATTTGATAATTATAAATGCCATCCGTGTACAATTTGAATATGCTCATTCTATGAATGATCATGTTCATTCCAAGTAATTATGGTCATTCCATGCATGATCATACGCTTATTCCATGCATGATCATGTTTATTCCATGTGATCATCATCGTTCTATGTATGATCATGGTCATTCCATGTAATCATGGTCATTCCATCCATGATCATATATATTCTATGTATGATCATGGTCATTCCATGCATGATCATACGCTTATTCCATGCATGATCAAGTTTATTCCATGTGATCATCATCGTTCTATGTATGATCATGGTCATTCCATGTAATCATGGTCATTCCATCCATGATCATATATATTCTATGTATGATCATGGTCATTCCATGCATGATCATACGCTTATTCCATGCATGATCATGTTTATTCCATGTGATCATCATCGTTCTATGTATGATCATGGTCATTCCATGTAATCATGGTCATTCCATCCATGATCATATATATTCTATGTATGATCATGGTCATTCCATGCATGATCATACGCTTATTCCATGCATGATCATGTTTATGCCATGTGATCATCATCGTTCTATATATGATCATGGTCATTCCATGTAATCATGGTCATTCCATCCATGATCATATATATTCTATGTATGATCATGGTCATTCCATCCATGATCGTGTTTATTCCATGTATGATCATGTTCATTCCAAGTTATTATGGTCATTCCATCCATGATCATATTTATTCCATGTGATCATGTTTATTCCATGTATGATCATGGTCATTCAATGCAATTTATCACCAATCATACTTAAATATGATTATTTCTGGACTTTTTTTCTTCTTTTTATTTCTGGACTTATTAGTTCTTTGTTAAGATGAATTCTCTCTTCCATTTTGCTCATTGTATCAATGTGTAATTATGGTAAAATTATTAATTTGTGTCACGATTTAAACCATTAGCTATATTTAGTTAAACATGCATTTAAAAGTGCATCCTCCCAAGCAGGTGTCCAGAATCCATACCTCCTAGAAAGTAGATATTCTGGATTTTGGAGCCCTGCGAATGGAGGATGTTAAGAACGAAATAACATGTTTTACCGTTATTTGAATACTGTTATATAATACATATAATGTATATAATACACTTGAATATTCAATATAGAATTTGAACTTCATTTATTTACATGTAAATAATGAGCAGAAACATATATGTTGATGCGTTGGTGCAAGCTTTATTTTGTAAGCTAAGTTATTAGAAATATATGGTGCCGCAGCATTCAGTTTACATGTAGGTTTGAAATGAAATATGGAGTTTAGGAGTAAAATGCTCTCCCAACAAAATTCTGACATACAACCCAAGGTGGATTGGCTCCCAGGGACACCGATCGATATTCTGTTCCATATATGGGTATCACGTAGTCATGTTATGAACCGGGGTTATGAATACAAAATTCAATCGAGAATATCGGCCATTCTCCTTGCAGCCGTAGAAGTATACAGAGAAGATTGGAAACTACCGCATTGAATGGAGATCAAACCCGTAGTCAGGATTTGCCAAGGGGGTTTCAGTTTTCAAAAATTTCCAGGGGGGTTCACATCTGACAATTTTGACCCAAATATGGCTAAAATCACTTGAGAAATGCTCAAAATGGTGAAAAACTGCATGATTTTGACAGAATTTTTGGCCAGGGTTCGCCTGAACCCTGGAGATTACAGAATATCGGGTTGGAACCCTTGCTTCCAATCCTCTTTGCATATAACCATTACTATTGGACTAATATAGTTTTGCAAGAAGCTGGACCCCCTCCTATCTACTTCTCTTTAGGGAAATGTTTGAGTGGGGGAGGGGGGGCATAAGAGCCTAGTAAGACAATTATAGTACAATATCATTCATTAGAAAAGTGCTTTATTAGAAATTCTTTATTTTCATTCTTTGATTTTTTAAAACAATTGCATTATTTTGTCACATGCATTGAACATATCAATTTTTCTAAAATCCTGGATCAAGGAGATATATTGTGATAATAATTTAGTTTTACAATTTGATTTTGCTCAAGTTGTATTAATTAGCTATGATATATTATAACATACATAGTCTTGTACCAGGCCCTTGTAACTATATTGTCTCAAAGATAACACCTGGTTGGGAAAAATATGGTCGACCAGAGGCTTGATTCAAGACTACTGCATGTAGAACTAAGTCTGTATACTGTAGATACACTTATTTTGACGCTACTTAATTTGACAGATTTGCATGTAGAATTGATGACATGTTGACAGGAAAAGGGGCCCCTGGAGTTTAATTTCTGAAGTGCATTGGACAAAAATTCCAACTGAATTCCAAAAAGAAATACGACGGATTTTTAATTTGGCAGATTTTCTGAATCCACCAATCTGTCAAATTAAAACTGGAGCCAAATTAAGTGTATCTACAGTATTTATTTCCAAACTATTTTTGTTCATATTCCAATTTTGTATCTTAGATCAACAAATTATTTACATTTATGTTAGTGTACAATCCAATACTTATAGGCAGCATGTTGCTTTTATATTTGATATGTTTTAGTCAGGAAAGATTGGTTTCGAAAGAATAAATTATAAATTGTAGAATCTCAGAAAAATCATTACCAGTGTCTGGATATATGTACAGCAACATGAATAAATACATTTTCTCGATTTGTGCCATGTACTTAGGAGAATTGACATTATCAACATTAGCATTTTAAAGTTTTGCTTAAAGTTTTGCTTTTTACATCTCATATTTAGTGATTTGGTTGAAAATGCACATGTGAAAATTTTAAGCTGTTCCCAGCCGGGTTCAACTTTACACATTTTACCGGACAATGTAGGGCCAATTGGGTATTTTTCTCTCATTTTTAACAATTGTTTGTTTGTTTGTTTTTGTTAAGAAATGAACAGATTAAATATTATGTATAAATTTGATTTATTTCCTTACCTCTACACATTGCTGGTTGCTATGTACAGTGCCGTGGTGTAGTCCCCTGTGTAATGTTTTAGAACCAGTTTTGTATTTAACAACCCCTGTAAAAACTGGTGAAAAAAGTCCCAACAATACAAGCAATACACAAGACTAGGAGTAATTTATGTGATACTATCATCCTTCTTCAAAGGACTTCATTTATGCCTAAATTCAGCCCTTCACTCAAGCCCAGGTAGTTTCATTCTTGGGGCCTTATATAAGATGAGTTTCCTAGTGGTCAACGCAGAAAATGCGTTGTGCAAATTGTCCAATTACATGTCTCCTTTCCTGGAACTTATGAATAATCTTACCATTTGTGCCTCTTCAAACCACCATATTTCTGCAGTATTCTTTTTCTTTTTCGTGAAATGGTTAAATATTTTAATTTTGGACATACTATAGAATGTTCTACGGATGATGGTTTATTCTTAAGCTAATATTTGTATAAATCCTATGATTTTTTGTTACATATAACAAACTTCTAAGTCATAAGATATGTAAGGGCATACTGCTGTAGTATAAAGACAGCTTTGTAGACTGTTCAACAGGATTTTAATTACCCTTGTACACTGTGTGTAGTAGTTCTCTTAAGGTATGTTATGTAGGCTAATATTGTTTAATGTCCAGTTTGTTTGCTCAAGCCCAACAATTGAATAGAGAGAAGCAAGGGTATATACTTGTAAAATACCCTTGCAGCAAGGATGTGATACTATACACCTAGAAAATTTCAAGCGATCAAATATTTGGATTTTTTAAATCATTCAATTTTGACAATATTTCAGAAAAAATTGTGAAATAATTTCTCAAGAAGCTATAAATTTAGTTTCAAAAGCTGAAACTTAAAGCACAATGTACTATAGACTTACTCGGTGTAAACTATTTAAGGGACATAATGTTGAGTACTGTTATAATTTTACATGTCACGGCCAATGTTTATTCTTGATATTCTCCAAAGTTGTCATGTATTTATGTCACCACCAGAAGTGATGGCATTTTGTTGGAGTCTCCAAACTTTTGTGGATGGTATTCGGCGTTTGGTGGTTGGAGGTTTGTGTTTGGTGTTGATGGTCAGTGTCTGTAACAAATGGCAGGTGGTGACATTTTGCATGTTATTGTCTTGTGTTCATGTCTTGAGTTGAGTTTGCAGGTGCATATTGTACTTTATTGTACAGCTGTATATCTTTTATGAATGCATGGAGAATATTGAATAAAATCACATCATCCAACCTGAATGTCCATTATGATTACATCCATTCCATGGTATGTAAAGGTATGGTGATATTTCTATATACACTTTTACTTCATCATTGTTACAACATAACCATGACTTTCTAATGGTGTATAACACACAAAGGACTACTATTTGATTATTGTATGTCCATATTTCTCCAATATTCTAGAGATGGTAGCTTACTTATAGATGTACAGTATATGTGTATGCACTAAATATATGTTATTTGTTATAAATTGATAATTGATTTTTAAAGAAAAATAAATAAATTATTGAATAAGATGTTACTTCTATGTTCTCTGTATTTGATAACCAATGTGCAGTTAGTTGACTTAGTGGTTTCAATTTTGTTTCTATGGAAATCACTTGAATAAGATGTGACATACGAATTGTTTTTGCAGACAGTGTTCGGCGTTTGGCAGACAGCGTCAGCGGAATTCAGCTTCTGTAATAAATGGCAGGTGGTGAAATTTAGTGTATGTTGATGACTTGTATCATGTCATATGTCCTTTCATGTTATTTTCCCTTTCACCTCGCCCCTGCCAATCAAAACAAAGGACAATATTCGATATTAATATGAGGATGTGACAGATATATGTCACATACCGTCTGTTTTTATACCTCCTCCCTCACCCTTCTTAGGCATAAATTTGTATTTGCAAACCCTTGATGTTTTGATCTTGTATATTATCAGAAAGTATATAGGACTTGTAATCCTAAACGAATCTATTTTTGTGTTAATAGTTACTTAGAAAAGATTTTTTGAATATCGAAAAATTAGACAAATTGGATTTGATTTTGTGTAGGACCTCTATTACTAACCGTTACGATTCCCTCTATGTTGGAGTATTTGAAATTATGACATACAGTAGATCTAAGAGTCAATATTTCATGTCGTTTGGATCTCCAAAGCTGCTGTCCATATTTCTTTGAATACTTGTATAATGCGTCGTTGAATGTGTTTTTCAACATGCGCGTTATTCACGTCTACATGCGTAAATAACGTCTGCACAACGCGTCCTGCGTTCGATCTAAGAGGGAAAGCCCCAGAGTTTTAAAGATGACAGACATTATCCCATGCCAGTCCTGACACGGGATAAGACAGACATAATTACGTCTCTTGCTTACCACCTTCGTTCGTTCAAATTTTCATTGGCTAATTTTCAAATACTACACTTCGATGTGATGTTTTAATTGATGAGGGCATATTCCATACATCTTTCGTCATCTTGATGTGAAATAACAAGCTATGATATTGGTTAACACACCAGAAATTAACATAATATTATTCGAAGCGTATTTCGAAAATTCGTCATTTGTTTGTTGACTTTTGACCAATCAGACAGCCTGCAGAGATGTATGTCACCTCAATACAGGTTTACATTACAAGCGTATGTCATATTTGAACTGTGGTGTTATTCCCCCCTCTGGTTCGATCTCTTCATAACATGCTAATTAGTTACACAATCCAGGTATAACTCACAGATCCGGAGCCAGCTCTAGCCCCTATTGGTAGTAGGCTCAAATGATATTTATTGAGCCTTGACACAGAGGAGCTTATATCTGGCAGAGGTCCGTGGTATAACTGACACTTCAGTGCAATGCCATACCTGCATACGAGAAATGCAGATATGTATGTAAATTTATTTTACAATGACACAATCTAGGTAGACTATATCCAGATATCTGGCACTTCAGTATTAGATATCATACCTGCATTAGAAAAATTCAGATATTCATATTTAATATTTTTCTCATTTTGAAATTGATTTTTTTCTTTCTTCTGGTCCGAATGATGATTCAGTACAATTTTTTATTATTCATGTAATATAATTATTAACAAGTGTTACATTTACACGTAATCATCACGTAATTCTGCAACTAAATTTGACTGAAATTCAAATAAAACACCCAAAATCAATGCAATCAGACTTACTAATCAAAGAAATGTGCAAGTACACCCATTGTGATCTATAATACGAAGTTACTGCAAAAGGTACGTACTGACGTCCCACACTCGGAATGATCGTTATTAAACACATATTTTAACAAAGGCTACCTTCTAGTCATTACCCTGCAATTTTTTTTCATCAGAATATCAAAAATATAGTAAATGCCAATTTGACCCGAGACAGATTCAATGATATTTAAAATAAAAACAATTCGGATATACTGTCAAAAGTGTATGCAAAGTATACGGCTTTATAATTGTGTAATCGGCTCCATGCGACGTTTAATATATTCATTATGTTTAACTTTGTTGGTATTTTGATGTATTGGTCGGAATAATTTCGAGAGACGAAATATTATCCAAAGTGTTTTAGGTTTTGACGTCGAAAATTTTACGATTTGTGTATTAAATGGCAAAATGAACCGGATAACAGACCAATATTTCTTACTTAGTTATAAAAAGGAAATAAAGGAATCAAATAAATATGATTTTATAGGCAGGCAATGTGTTCAATTTGTTAAATGCTCATTTTTCTTCTGTAATGTCAATATAAATACCTACTGCAAAACAACTCTCAAAAATTGGATCAAGCAAGAAGAATCAAGGATTGCAAATATGAAGTCGATTCTGATATTGAGGTAAGAAGTTCTCGTACTTTTTCGATGAATTTGATGAAACGTAGCCAGACACGAGCCAGGCGAGACAATTGCCCCAACAAAATCTCAAAATAATGCATTTCAGACGTTTTTCATCTTAAACAAATGTAGTAATATAAATCCTTTAAATAGCCTCGCCTACTAATTTTTGCCTCATCTTGATTCTGGCCGCGTGTATGTATTATGTACAGAGTGACCAAAAATGAATGCAACCCATAAGATTAAGTTAGTGCTAATATCTTTCATCCAAATCAAGCTGCTGAGATGATAACAAATATTTTTCATAAACAATGGCTATGAGAGAAAAATGAAGCACTTATCTTATTGGTTATAGAAATTACAAGCACATTTGTGGGTTCAATTCATTTTGGGCCACCCTGCACACTTTGAAACATATGAAGAACCTGCACGTCTTAACATGTGGATTTGGCAATGAACTATATAGTCTTCTAGGGGTTTCTCTGATTTGTGAATATTATTTATCTACATTTAGTGCTATGTTAGGATGTGCAAGTGGTTTTACAACAGAACGACCAAATTATACCCGTGAGTATCAATAACTACAAAAACGTTATTTTCTGTATCATACAATATTTGTTTATACTGGTGTTTCTGAAATGCCATTAATGTAGTTTCGAGAAAATGTCGTCCAAATGTTTGTTTTACAAAAATGTGGCACCTTAAATTGTGTGCAAAGGCCGACGTGGCAGTTGTCAGTTTGTCAGTTGTCCGTGTGTGTGTTCTTCATGGAAGAGAACGTAATGCAGGACTTCTTGATCTTGACGTATCAAAATGATGCGCCCAATTAGGCAGTATTATGTGGTTACAAGGGTTAGCTAATTATAATTATAACGATGCTCAAGTCTTAACAATGGACGGCGTGTTTTTCAAACGATTTAGACGTGTTTTTTAAGAAAATGGAATACGACATTCGTTAGAATGGAGCAAAAAGGTAAGAATATTCTACAAATATATTTTACAAACTGACATTACTTGACTTCTACCTAAAATCCTCTTCTTCATACCCAGTATCTATTTTGGCGATCATACTTCATAGTACTCGCAATTATATACCAAAAATGCCAGAAATATGTACTGAATTTGCATTTTGTGTCATTTAATTATTAAGTTTAAACAGACTATCCATTCAACAACGTGGAATAACATTTACTACTCTTAAGATCATGTTTATATTTTAACTATCTTTATCTTAAAATTGCCATAATGTAGAAAGTGGAGTTAACGATGGAGAAGGGATATTTTTGGACACGTCCAAATAGTTTAATCCAAAAAAAATTATTCGGTCTTAGCTCTTTTAATTTGTGAGTACTTTCCTTATGAATCGATGTATTCATTGAATACAAGGCAGGCTAGTGATTTTCAGGCAAAATATGTGTACCACTGCCAGAATCGCTCATTTTCCGATTTAACAAGGCTATAGCAAAAGACTCGTGCAATTAACGCGTTTGCGGATAACTGAAGTTAGGGACAATCTCCACTGTTAACACTTGGTCACCGTGATTATGTTCATTTTTACTTTTTAGCAATAATCGTAAACTTATTCGACCAACGCCTTCCTCCTTGTCTGAGGGGCAAAGCATTTACACCCGGATTCCCTAGAATGTTAAGGACGTGTGTTGGTTCACTAATCAAGAGTACTGAAATCAGAAGTTATATGGATCTGGATGTTTGCCAATTGTAAGTGCTTACAATAATGTTGACTTATTTAATAACTCAAGTTCATTTTATATTCAGGTGTGCTTTATAATTAGGTTTCTATGGTAATGCAATTTAATGAATTCTTGAATTCTGAGCATTTTCCCATTAAAATATCAATGACTTCATTAAGAAAGGCTTCTGTTTGAGACTAGTTTTTGTATTAATTTTCTGAATTTTTCTGAGAATTCTAACACTATGATTTATTGGAAACATTTTAGGGGGTGCGCGCGTTCCCGGCGCCACCGCCCAGATCCGCTATTGCACAGTTATAATGTACCATTTATGACGTAATAATTGAACAATAGAATACCCAGGTAACAATGAACGATATAATAAACAATGACAATAAACTTACTATGACAACAAACTATGACAATAAACTACACATAGAAACAGCATCGTTTGAGATTATTATTTTCTGTTTCTATCACCATTATTCTCTGAGGTAAATGAACTTGAGTTATTTAATATATTACCAGAGTGACGAATATTATTGTTTTATTATCTAACAAGTCAAAAAGAGTCAATGAATCTACAAAACTAACCATTCATCTTTTATATAATCATCAGCAGGAATACAAAATGATAACCATACATTATTTTTGGAAAGAAATATATCTTATAGTAGATTCGCAGCACATCATGTATTTATTCCGCTACTTGTTAATGTTTTTTGTTTAATATAACGTGGCTCATATGCCCCTTGGGGTGTCTTCCACTATTGTGATTGTACTTGTATTATTTGGAATTAAGGAAATAAATAAAACAATAAACAAACAATTCTACAAGCATCATCCCTTTCTTCAGCGTTAAGAACAGTGTTGCCATGGGATCGTCCTGTGTTGTCAATGAAATTAGCATGGAAACGGGCTGCTCTGAGGAGGTCGTGGAAGGACTTGTGGGGTGGGGCTCGGACGACATCCCGATAAAATTTGTGGAATTTATATTTTGTGGTGGACCCGATCCATTTGAACCACCCAGACCAAATAACGTCCCCGAATGAAGTTGTGAAGCGGCACCATGCTACGAAGTGATGAATATTAAAAGTGTAATTTGAATCATTAAATCGAAAATAAAATATCTTAAAATGCAAGTTCTTGTGAAAATACATATACATATAAAACCTACCCTATGGTGGAACGACCCCAACAGAGGTAGAAAATACGGGGTCCGCGCATTATACCGAAACCCATTATACCGACGCACATTATACCGAAACCCATTATACCGACGCGCATTGTACCGAAAGGCGTTATACCGAATGCCATAATCACTGTTCCACAACTATAACAAAATGGATGAACTTCCTGGTTACGAATTTTTTGCTTTCTCGATTTAAACCTACAAATAAGTCAAGTTGCAGATTATAATTTGACCCAAAGCTAGAAAATATAGCCTAGTCACTGGTGATCCACTCGATTACACTGGTTACCGAAACGGTTCGTTTTGGTAACAAAATGTCGGAACGTCGAAGGTACGATTTTCTTTTTTCCTTATTTCACGCGTTGTAGGCTGAATCCCCACGACGTTTTTTCTCACAAACGTGTATTAGTATCAGATGTTTTAGAAAAAGTTCATGTTTGCGAAAAAATAGCCCAGAAGACAACAGAATCGTCGATTTAATTCCTCACTTAAGTTACATAAACGAACCGTTCCGGTAACCAGCGTAATCGAGTAAATCACTTGTGCTACTTTTATTAAGTTTCTTCGATTTGAATTTTGTTTTGTAAATGAAGGTGTAAATGCATATACTAAGCCCCTCGCTTTTGTTACATTGAAGAAAGCCCTTTATATTACCAATGTATGTTACTTTGTCAAAGGGGATTTAGCCCGACCATTTTTAGAAAACTTGAAAATCTCTAGAATTTGAATAAAGGTAAATAACAGTGCAAAAACTAAGTTGTTTTGATAGAAAATTACACAAAGAATTCAAATAGAAGAAAACATTAGTCTTTAGTGATTAAAAATGCAGATCTCCTAAAATCTCATTAAAATGAAACCTTAACGCGATTTCAAAGCTATATGGAAAAGCCACTATTAGATAAATGCCTTCACTAAGCTTTTCTCTGTACTCGTGTCCGTGCCTCATTTTGAGTAGTGATTGTAAATTCTTTTCAGAAGCATGATTATGTTTTCCCTGTAATATGAATTGGAGATATCTGACAAAATATGGATAGCCTAAAATATAAATTTAAAATTTTGTGTTTTTTGAACATGCGGAAATATCTTGAACACTTTGAAAACTTTCCTTAATAGGCCCGCCGTTCAGTTTTCTTGTTTTTGTTCTACACGACATTTGTGTTTAATAGCCACGCGTAATTATTAATAAGCGTAATCAGATTATTTCAAGCGTCGAAATAGCTTATTTTCCTCGACATATATATATACACAAACCTATTCACTTACCGTTATATTGAGCGATCTAGAATTGTTTTCACTCATCGGCTTTAGTGGCCAGCGAAACCTTTTATTTCATTCATTTGAGACGCAATTGATATATTGGCAGCAAATCAAATGTTCTAAATGATTCTTCTTCATTTTGGAACGTTTCTCCTACCCGATATTCAAAGATGTGTTTAAATATTATACTTTACATTGATCACGATTCTTGTACTTTCTGTCTTTACGACTCCCGTTCGCATTTGCAAGAGTTGTTGATTGCATTGCCTTGATCGCTGGTCGAACTTCGATTCCAATTAAATCAGATTAATCAATTAAGAAATGTAATATCATGTTTATCCAAGCAAATGATTGTAACAACTACATTATTTTTTAGCAGTTTTGACACCTAAGCAGGGTAGCCTAGTGGCGTAGACTGAGGCTACTTTGCGGTTGAACGTCGTGGGATACGGAGGTCCCGCGTTCGAGCCTCAGGTACGGAGTTGTTGATCATTGTCACTACGGACACCCGGTCCGAAGGTCCAACCGTTTACCGGCCCTTGGCAAATTGAGAATCAGATGATTTGCAAAGCCTAGTATTGATTTGCCCCTAAATAGATATTAAAAGGACGCTGAATATTGGACTTAGTTAATGAGCACCATTTTAAACTGCCAATTAAAACATGTATTCAATGTTTCAAAATAATGAAACTGAAATATTGGGCAAAATAATTGATATTTCGTTTGTGGAATGAAAACTGATGATAGAGATGATATCAGTAGCCAAAAACTGTATAAGCAATTTAAACATGGAAATGATGCCAATTTAGAAGTATTATATGAAAAAATGTTTGTGAAATGGTTAGAAAATGAAATAACTTCAGAATTAATGGGATCATTGGGGCACACATTGATAAAAATAATACTTGGATTTGTAAAGATTTAAAGTAAAGCAAATGAATGCGTTTCTTACTATCTCCATGGCAACATATCTTGCTCTCTCTCAATGACAACAATGTTTGGCCCCATCAGCACAAGATCGAAAATATAGTAATTACGAGGGGTGATCAATAAGTAATGGACGCTTTTTTACACAGATGCTTTTTATAGACCAATCCCTTCGATTTTCTTACCAGTGATACATCATTCAATTATCTTTCAACTCTGAAGATTTGAAGACAATATATATATTACATGTTGATATATCTTTATTTCCGTGAAGGAGGTACAGGTACCCCGGGACCGACATTTACGTCACATATTCGAAGCTATTTTAGATTGTTTAACATGCAATGCAGTTGAATGCAGGCTGAATAAAACAAACCATTATGATCATGAATTACCCCATTTTGTTATGCCATAGTAATAATATAATAATTTTGAATATTTTATCATCACTATGTGGTATTCATGCCACATTCATTCCACAGGGCCCTCTAAATAGTTTCCATCAAGTGCTACATGTACACAATTCCTCATCCTCCTAAAGATTGTGAGACAAGGCTGAATCCATTCTCTGACATGGTAGCAAGATGCAGTTGCACGGGTTGTTTTATTTCATCAATGTCAATAAACCTGCGTCCTTTCTCTATAGAAATAAGTAGTATAGAAATAAACAAGTCACATGTGAGCAGATCTGGACAATATGGCGCATTGTCCAGGGGCTCAATTTTGAGGTCCAGGGATATTGTTTTCTGAACATTTCGAGATCTGTGGACAGGTGCATTGTCCATTTGGAGTAGGGTGTTCCCTTCTCTCACCACCCCTTTCTTCCACTGAATGCTTTCTCAAATTGACCTGCAAACCCCTTCCATACAACACTCTGACATTACAATACTTTCTGTTTATGTGTTACCAGTCAGCAAAATTTTTTAAACAACACAACACATGTTGCATATAAAACGTTCAAATCTAACTGAAATTTACCAAACTGGCTAAAATCTGAATATGTGACGTAAATGTCGGTCCCGGGGTACCTGTACCTCCTTCATGGAAATAAAGATATAGAGATTATCCTATATGAGGTTCAGGATATTGGGATTATCCCGAGGCCAATATAATATATCTGCCCGAGGGCCGTAGGTCCCGAGGGTAGATATATTATATTGGCCAAGGGATAATCCAAATATCCTGAACCGACTATAGGATGATCTGTTTATCCCATACCAATCACATTGTTCAATTTGCCAAAGTTCAGAAACTTTGCAACCAACCGTGGAATATTCTTAAAATATTCATGTCCAGTTTTGTATTCCTGTTTCTTTCCTATTCAAATCTTTGATTATTAACGCCGGTACACTGCTCCTTCCCTTCTTTAAAGCATCAAACAGGTCGAGATTGTCTGCGTTTTTATTCCCCATTGTCGTTTACAGTATGCGAACGTTACAAAAAAGAACCAATACGGGAACAGCGATTATGACGTAGCGGGCAGATATAGTATATCTGCCCGCTCGGAGCGGGACGTAAAGCTATATCTGCCCGCTGATGAAAATATAAGTTTTTACAAACCGGCTTTATGTACCCGTAACACGTCCAAGTATGGGATAAATATCAATATGTATTATATATCTTGTCTTCAAATCTTCAGAATTGATAGATAATTGAATGATGTATCACTGGTAGGAAAATCAAAGGGATTGGTCTATAAAAAGTATCTGTGTAAGAAAGCGTCCATTACTTATTGATCACCCCTCGTATCAAGTTCAATAAGAAATGTGAAACTTTATATTTAATAGCACAATTATTTATTTCTACCAATGAAACAATACAGTATAAATAAATGTTTACTTCATTGAATACAGAATTTACCACAGTTAAATATATTTTATTAAGTACAGTGTTTACCATAATCAAACATAAATAACAGAATTATGACTTTATCCTAGATATGAAACACAGAAATTGATGGTTAACTGGAATTAAGTTTGTTGAGACGACCCCTCAATTCGAAACGCCTAGCATCAGTTAAAAAATTTCTGGCCGCAACTGAGATGTAAAGATGTTCAAAGATTTATAATCCCTAAGCTTTATCTGAAAATATGTCTTTGCGCGATTAACTTTTAATTGAATATGAATATATAAAAAAAAAACAGATTAACATCTAGTCTCATATTAAAAAGTTTAAAGTTAAAATATTGTGGAAGTAAATAAAAATGAATTTTTAATTTTCAAGACTTGTCTGTTCAATGAAAAAATTATGTATAGAGCTAGATTCAAAGCACCGTTCTTGCGAGTTTCAAATGAAAATATTGAAAAACGCGCGAGTATGAGGACCGCAACTTTTTATGTCTACACTGACAAAAACTTGAAATTTCTGCTGTAAAGATATAGTCCCACGCAGAAGTGCACATAAAACTGATAGGTTAAGGCAACGTGCCGTCCCACTGGCACGGATTTCGGTACAACGGGCATCGGTAGGCCTATGTTGGCTTTCGGCACAATGCGCGTCGGTATAATAGGTTTCGGTATAATGCGCGTCGGTATAATGGGTTTCGGTATAATACGCGTCGGTATAATGAGGTGATCCCGAAAATACAAGGCTACCCCAAAAACAAAGCCTTCTAAAAGTGTAATTATCTATTAAATACCTATCCTAATTATGTGCACAAACTCCGAAACTAGAATCTATGGATGATAATATGATATTAAGATTGCATCACAAAATTGATTATTTGTGATTTCATGGATGATCTTAGAATGTGTCTAATTTTTGAAAAATCAATATTTTGACACAATCATATTTGGAGATCCAAAGAAGACGTAAAATTAACGTCTCGTTTAGTATTAATTTAATTGAAAAATGAATGATAAGCAATGGTAAAACACCTATGAAAAATAAGGCGACTAAAATTCCTAGACGCTGGGCAAGAACACCTCAAACGCTATACAAAATTCTGTAGGACAAATTCTCAAGAAATCATTAAGACAGCAGAATGTGGTATCAAAGTAAAATATTTAAAATAGTTTTGAAGAGGGCTAAAGAAGAACTTTTAAACACCAGAATGGAAAAAATGATCAGCTTTCCTATCTTGGATGTTTTATGACCGCCTTGTACCAATGAGAAAGCCACGTGCTTAACCGACTCAATGTTTATGTCGGTATTTTTGACCAATCAACGACGGATTGAATGTGATTGGTTTAAAAAAGAATGTGATTGGTTTAAACATACGATGTGCAACCCTTGTAAGGCCTTGTTGACACTACTGAATCTACTGTAATTATTATTACATCTTTATATTTAGCCTCACATTGTCATCCATAGATTATAGTTTCTGTACATAAAAAATGAAGCTGATTACACAAATGTATTAAAGAAGTTATTTCATTTTTGAATGGTTCTGTTTTTTGGGTCACCCTGTAAGTAACACCTTTAAACCTCCAATGTAGAAATTCATTTTATGACCACATCCCATTCTCTTATACGTCGTAGCACCGGAAGTTTACGACGTTATATCCAGTATTTTCCGCGGGAGATTTGTAAGTACTCATTTATTTCGAAGTTTCGACAGAATATGGTTCTTTCCCTTTTGTAGAAACATTCTAGGAAGCACGACAATTCCTTGAAAAACAATGATAACTTTTCACTAAAATCATCATAGTTTCTACAATTTTGGCCCTATCATCTTGAAATATTGATTAGATTAACAATACAATTTTACATACCATCCAGAAACTTCAGTTTCAATGAATGGAGTGAGGTGCAACTTGTTTGTGACAGCCTATGCGAGCGGGAACCATCCTATGCGAGTTTGAACTCAATGCGTGTGTAAAATTGACACGTTCGTTCGAAATTTCGCATAAAATGATGCGTATTTCGCATAGTACGATGCGAGTTTCGAATCATATACACTGTAGTTCGAGTATCGCATCATATAGTTCGATTTTTCCCATGGATCATGTAATGTCCAATTTTGAAACAAAATAAATTCCATAGGCTCCTAGTTCAAAAGCTTTTATTTTCAAAATGGTCGCTATTTGTATTGCAGAAAATTCAATTTTGAGCTAAATCATGTGAGCCCAGTTCCCACGATCCTCTTTATTTTCAATTTAAAGCATTCATTGAAGTTGATGACGATTTTATAGACAAGAGTTGAGTGATGAGAAGGAATATTTGATATATCTTAATTGTGGAAAGTCGACTTGGAGAAGTTAGGTGCGACAGTCTAATATGAAACTATTGACATAGAACTTGGGTTGTGTGACAATAGAAAACGTGAAGAAGTTAGAAGCGAAAGTTAAATATGAAACTATTGTCTTAGAACGCGAGTTGTGTGTATTGTACCGGTATTGCCGTTCTTGAAGAAGTCGGATGCGAAAGACAAATATTAAACTATTATCTTACAACGTGGGTTGTGTGGCAGTAGAAGACGTGAAGAAGTTAGATGCGACAGTCTAATATAAAACTATTGACATAAAACTTGGGTTGTGTGACAGTAGAAAATGTGAAGAAGTTAGAAGCGAAAGTAAAATATGAAACTATTGTCTTAGAACGCGAGTTGTGTGTATTGTACCGGTATTGCCGTTCTAGTTCGCCATGACATTAGATTCATGAATAAAATAAACGTCTTGGATAAACTGTCAAAAATGCCTGCATAGTAAATAGCTGTATAATTGTGTTATACTACATCAATAACATGAACAAGTCAACAGACCAATATTTCTCACTCACTTAAAAAGGAAATCATTTAATATATAAAAGCAATCAAATATGATTTATAAAAAGACAATTTGTTACATTTGTTAAATGCTCATTTCTCTAAATAATCCAATGTCAATATAAAAACTTAAAGCACAAAACAACTCAAAATCATGTGAGCCCAGTTCCCACGATCCTATTTATTTTCATTTAAAGCATTCATTTAAGTTGACGAAGATTTTATAGACAAGAGTTGAGTGATGAGAAGAAATATTTGACATTTTAATTGAATTGTGGAAAGTCGATTTGGAGAAGTTAGATGCGACAGTCTAATATGAAACAATTGTCTTATTAGGGTTGTGCGACAGTAGAATACTTGAAGAAGGTAGATGCGAAAGTCTAATATGAAGCAATATTGTCTTAAAACTTGGGTTGTGTGACAGAAGAAGGCTTGAAGAAGGTAGATGCGAAAGTCAAATGTGAAGCAATTGTCTTAGAACTTGGGTTGTGTGACAGAAGAAGGCTTGAAGAAGGTAGATGCGAAAGTCAAATGTGAAACTATTGTCTTAGAACTTGGGTTATGTGACAGAAGAAGGCTTGAAGAAGGTAGATGCGAAAGTCAAATGTGAAACTATTGTCTTAGAACTTGGGTTATGTGACAGAAGAAGGCTTGAAGAAGGTAGATGCGAAGATCAAATGTGAAACTATTGTCTTTGAACTTGGGTTGTGTGACAGTAGAAGGCTTGAAGAAGGTAGATGCGAAAGTCAAATGTGAAGCAATTGTCTTAGAACTTGGGTTGTGTGACAGAAGAAGGCTTGAAGAAGGTAGATGCGAAAGTCAGATGTGAAACTATTGTCTTAGAACTTGGGTTGTGTGACAGAAGAAGGCTTGAAGAAGGTAGATGCGAAAGTCAGATGTGAAACTATTGTCTTAGAACTTGGGTTGTGTGACAGAAGAAGGCTTGAAGAAGGTAGATGCGAAAGTCAAATGTGAAGCAATTGTCTTAGAACTTGGGTTGTGTGACAGAAGAAGGCTTGAAGAAGGTAGATGCGAAAGTCAGATGTGAAACTATTGTCTTAGAACTTGGGTTGTGTGACAGTAGAAAACCCGAAGAAGTTAGATGCGAAAGTCAAATCTGAAACATTTGTCTAAGAACTTGGGTTGTGTGACAGTAGAAGACTTGAAGAAGGTAAATGCGAAAGTCAAATCTGAAACAATTGTCTTAGAACTTGGGTTGTGTGACAGAAGAAGGCTTCAAGAAGGTAGATGCGAAAGTCAAATGTGAAACTATTGTCTTAGAACTTGGGTTTTGTGACAGTAGAAAACCCGAAGAAGTTAGATGCGAAAGTCAAATATAAAACGATGTCTTAGAACTTTTGTTGTGACAGTGGAGGTTTAACAATAGAACTTGAAGCAATTGAGCTAGTGATTTGAAGTTCGTGGCTGGTGATGCGACGTATATAATACTATTCTAGTACCTTGTTTTGTTTTTCCTTACGACAAACATATTGTAATATCACCACTTTAATGTTGCAAAATGGAAATTAAAAAATTATTCTATGGCCTCGAGGAGATCAAATAACAGAGTTAGTTAGTTAGTTAGTTGGTTCAATATTTATTAGAGTCTCCAAAGTTAAATATATCACAAACAATATACAAGTAACACTTGTTTTGCACTATATTGAATAAAAGAGACATCAAACATCCCAACCGGCAGCGGAGTCTATTTGTCATCTGATACCATTTGTCTCTGCTAAAATACAGACATCAAATCCAGAATTGATTAATTTGTAATGACAGCAAGTTACAAAGATTAAACAATTTGAAAATTCTTGGTTTGACTTTTTCCAGCAATCATTGGATCATCTGAGAAATTAAATAGAGCTAAGGATTCCTGTTCATCAGGACTGTACGATGAATCGAATCCTCTGATATGAATACCAGCGAGTGCGATCTGTACTGTAGCCCTGTAGTGGGTAGGAACCGAAGCAGTTATTGAAAGAGTGTTATTTGACTGAAAGTGTCGAATCATCAAAATACAAGGCTGATCAACTGTGAAAGAAAAGGACAATTCCGTATCTGGGTAAACAAAGGAAATTGGAGCGGTGAATACAATCATTGAGAGAATATCAAGTGTCGACTGGTACACGATATGGGCATTTGAGTCCTGTTGCAAGATCTCCACTGGTGGATTAGCGTGGCGTTCCTCAGTTTGAGCTATGGTTACACCTGGGTACATGATATACGCATACGGTTCTACACCATGTTCCATCCACATGGTAGCGACTTCCAAAGTTTTGCCATTTGCCGTTTTAACATGGGAATCGACGTTAGCATCTGCACCATTTGGGAACACATATCCAATATTGTCGTGGTAAATCCATTTAGCGTTAGGGACATTTGTTGTAGTGTCTGAGCCTACATACTGCCTTGTTTCTGAATTACAATATGCAATGTTACCATCTTGAACTACTTGATTCAGCGTAGTGATAATCGGTAGTTCGATCACCTCATTAGTTTCACGTCGCTCTATATCACTACCCAAGCAGACGACTTCATCATCAAAGAAAAACCAAGACTTCTTCATTGTTATATTGACGGTTGGACGATCGTAGTCCATTGCAGCAACACCGTACATGTCATCGGAGGCACTGCCAACGAAGACAGCGTTACTAATATGATGAGGAAACCCATTTGGATTGCCAACATTTCTCTCCATACCTTCCCGGGGAACCTGCCCACTGTATTCGCATGTCGTACCTACAACATATATAAACGAAAACATTACTTCTATTACATTGAATAACTTAATCAGTTACATTGTTTATTATTGATATAGAACGTTTGACATTGACTAAAACGTTCAAATTTATATCAGGGCATTTTCTTACAACAGCTTTTATCTTTAATCAAAACGATAGTGTGGTACTTCGAAAATCAAAAGTTGGGGCTCTGAGGAAAAAATAATTTTTATGTCTCAAAAATGATAGTTCAGGTCCAATTATTGTAAATGGTTACCAAATGTTACAAGTCCACTTATAAATTGTTGCCATTGTAACATATATTGGCAGAAATGTTATGGAAATCATAACATGTTCAAAATGTTGCCAGTTCAAAATGCGTCAGTCTAAACGGTATTTATGAAGTTATTGGAAGTTGTAAGAACGCCGATCGCCGAACACCATCCAAAAAAATTCTAGACTATAGAAACGTTTTCCTGATTCAATATGTTGGTGACATGAAAATCAGGTTTTTAATGGTATGTTTCTGATTCTGCTCAGACAGCGGGGGACTCCCTGGGGGGGGGGGGGTACTCAATAATTCAAAATTCAGTACCTGGAATCTTTTCCCAATCATAATACTGGAAAACCTCGTTGAATCTGGATCCGAACTCATGGTCATCCTGTAGAAGAGTCACAAATCCATCGCCCGTGTAATACCTGGAATATCAGTATCTGTCAAAAGACTTGTCATAGTGACAGTGAGACAGGTAGCGCTGAATAAGTTATCGTTCATCAATATGTAGTTCTTACCCATCTGGATTTTGTGTTCTTCTTGAGCTCACCCACGTCTCTGGTCTGACCGTACGAGTAGAAAACATACGCACAGTCGCCATATAACCTTGTCTATGGTGGACCATCATATCTGAGGCAAATAATCCTTTGTTACCAACGAGGGCGTTTGCTGCACTAGTAGGACCCCGTTTGAGATATCTTGTAACCGCGTTTTCAAGTTCCTCTTTACGGTAATTGAGTTCCAATAACCATTTTAATACCTGAAACAGTAGCATCTGAATTATCAATTCTGGACGATGCGATGGGGAAGTTATATTCATCAGAAAGGGAAAGCTTTCCAAATGTAAATAGACGTCCCTGACGCTGAGTACCCAGTGGCATCAGTTGAATGAATAACCCTCCTATGAGAACATTACTATACAAGGGGAGAAAAGAAGATATTATTTTGGTGGGAAATGGTCAATAGCAAGGCTATTTAAAGAGATGACACTACTGGGTACAATGTGAGACAAACTACGCCTATGTCATACCTTGTAAACGGAGTCTAAAGCCGCCCAATACGTCACTCGCTGGTTATCATCAATATTACGCCCAACTGAGGTCGGCTCGAATGTCCAGCCGCGCACCAAATACTGATGACATTCCAGGAACACATTTATGAACTCAGACATAATAATCTCTGTCACCTAAAATGTCAAATGTACGTCAAGGTCATCCAAAAGTAACGTCAAAGATGTTGCCATTTCACTACTTCTGGGCCAATTTACTTGAAACTTGGTACAGATGTTCCACAGACATAATTGAGTGTACAACTACTGTTTGGTTGGCAATCAATTAACTGTATAGAAACTTTGAGATTGTAGGTGAATGCAGTCTCATAATTTGGAAAACCAATATGATGACTGTCATATACGCATAAAACGCCATGGTGTACTCTCAAAATTTAGAGAAAAGTTGATTTTTAGATTGAATTGCCTCACACTTTAAAAATGGATAACATGACCAATAATTTAAATGTCATTAGTCCATTTCGTCGGAATTTCGTATTTTAAAACGATCCAGAACACTTCAACTGCAATCTCATTTTCAAATTCTCTTGGGGGAGGACCCACCCCCGAACCCCCCTCAAAGATCGTTCGCTTCGCTCCCTCGTGGCGTACACTCAAAAATACCCACGCTACGCCACTGGAAGGGTATGCTAATATTACAACTTACCGCGTAAGAAGAGTCGCGAAGTGCTATACAGATGAAGCCAAATCTTTTGATATACTCAGCTCCATATCCGCCATTGTAGATCATCAGACGTAAATGTGAGTTGGTGTATTTTCCCTCATAGAACCCTGTGTGGATATTGTGGGCGTGAATACAGTAATCGGCTCCTACACCTTCCCCTACAGTAACAAGTTTATTTCATTGAAACATTATTCCAAGAAAAGGGCCAGTGGTAAAACTTAGGGATCTAGGATGATTATGAATTCAATGTGCCATCTTACTGCAGAGGGGGAGAAACACCAGGGTTCAAAGATGACATACGCTTATAATGTAAATCTGTATTGAGATGACATCGTCGCTGATTGGTCAAAAGTCGACAAACAAATGACGTCATCAATGGCGGTTTCAAAATTTTCGAAATACGCTTCGAATAATATTATGTTCATTTCTGGCGTGTTAACCAATATCATAGCTTCTCATTTCACATCAAGATAAGGAAAGGTGTACCGTACGGAATATGCCTGTGTCAATTAAAACATCCCATCGAAGTGTAATATTTGGTAACTAGCCGATGAAAATTCGAACGAACAAGCCGGTAAGCAAGAGAGTTAATTATGTCTGTCATCTTAAACTCTGGGGCTTTCCCTCCTCTTATCTTACTGACTACTGTTTTGTTAAGCGTTCATATCCGATTGCATTATTATAATGAATAGTATTAATGACGTTGTATAAGCAAAAAAGAGGATTCATCTGCAAAAGGTATTTGCTTCTAATTTAATCAAGCAATGGCACTAATGTCTAAGACGAACAAGAACAAAAGGGGTCCTAAGAATGATACCCAAGGAAGTCCGGCATTGATATAGTTTTTGCTTGATAAATGTCCATCAATAAGAATAACTACCTGTTTACTATTTCTATTAGATGCTATGAAATCACATGAACCACATCTTGGAAGTTTGTGCAATTTTAGTTTATCTGGCATTAAGTCAAAAGCTACCGAAATGTCTAAAATGCCATCTATAGTTCTCAAGCGTTGGTTCTTAGCGCCTTGATGACGAGGAAAATACAAAAAAGTTGTAGAATAAAATTTGGCCAGCAAGAAAAAACATTTTGAATAATTTAGACCATCAACTTTTTGAATAATTTAGACAATCAACCGAGCAATTTAAAACATGTCTATAATGGGAAATCTTGTGTCCAACACTTTGGATAAAATCTTATTAAAATGTTCAAAGGAGTTTTTAACAATATTCATTGTAATGAAATAGATCGTCCAGCTTTTTCAACAGTTTCCGTTTCGTTACATTAAACATCCAAAAATCTGCCACACTTGAATCGTGACACTCTCTGACTGTTGGCTCGTTTGCAGACAGAGTTATACACTCAGGAAGGGAACAAGATTGACAGAACTTACAAAATATCATTATATAAATTGCAAGCCACGATAAAGAGGGAATAAGTTCAGCAATCAAATAACCTTTCCCTTAAACTTTAACGATTATTTTACTTTTGTAGTTACATCTCTTTATTGATAGTATAGTCGAAAAAGTAGTTCGTTAATTAAGAAATAAGATTCTACCTTGATATGTCGTTTTATTTACTATTTCCTGAGCTAGATACTCAAGGACCTGACTTCTCCTGGTTTCAAATATGTCCTGACTTTGGAAATATGTCTCGAACAACCCTAAGAAAGCTCTATTTGCCAGATTTGACGCCGATATGAACCCGTCTTTCTTTCGTTCGTAATCCCACACTGTACGGTCCGTCCAGTATCTTTTAATCAAATCGTCGTACAGCTTGTCGCTGATTTTACCCCTCGAAAGAAAGAGACCAGACCAGAGAGACCTTGGGAGGCCGATTTGATTGCCCCACCAGTTCCAATCCGTGTTGTCGGGTGCGGTATACGCAAGAAATTCCCACGATTTTACGATCCATTCCCAAATGTTGTCATTCTGATAAAAACTGTTCCCGTTGTGAGATAAGAAATACGATTGAATGAGTTTGGTCAGTCTATCGCCATGGATCAAAAATGGTTTTGACCATTTGTTCTTATTGTCGGTATAAGTGATATCGCTGAAACTTCCATCGTCTTTCATCTTGTCTGTCTCAACATATTGGTACGATAATCTTATTGAATATCGCTCCCCAGCTGCATCCTCTGGCATAGCAAGCAATTTGAAGTTGTCGTCAAGTTCAGAAGTAAACCTCTCCGCCAAACAACACTTCATAAACACCACCGACAAGAAAAAGCGAATGTTCTTCATCTTTATTTTCAACTTTCCCCCGATCTACACTGGAATAGACCCGATGTAAAACTGAGCTCGTATTGACTTGCTTCACAGGTTTTGTAGTGGACAATTTACTTTTGAAAACAATGCGCATGTTCAGTCAAATTACTCGACTCTCACGCTGTGGCGTTTTACGTTCATCGATTTGCGCGGTTTTAACGTATTGAGTTAATGTAGGCTTGCATCCGATTAATCCGATTATCCGATAATGAAATGAAAAAGTAAAATTGTGACAGTTTGTTGAATTTGGAATAGTGTAGGTTTACCCGGGGCACAAAAATGACACGCGAAGTCCATTAAAACAGTGAATTTCATGGGTTGGTTCATCTAGATCCATCAAGGTGAATAGATGACCAAAGGATACACTGGTTAACATTTTTAGTGTGACTCCTTCAAATTAAACATATACCTTGTAAATGATTCCAGTATAAATGAAATGTCCCTTGGTGTTATGGTCTTGAATGATGATTGATTGGTCTGTTGAAAGAAATGAGTTGTCGGTTAGTATCAATATGCTGGTCCAGGGGCGGTCTTACGCGTAAAACATTTGGGCCCAACTTCTGAAACTCCTTAAAGGGGCAAATTTGAAAAAGAATGCCCATCCAATAATGAGTAGAACGATGATTGAGTATTGTAAAGAATATCTCGTTTTCCTGAAAAAAGGATGCACATTAAGGACTTTAAGAAAATGGCATGCAAGGAATGAATGCGCCAAAATCATTCTAAAATTGAAATAGTCATCCCAAGTATACTTTTGTTTACCTTTTAATGATCAATCCCGTGATAACCCAATGTACAATATAAAAATGACCAGTCCTTCAAACTCGAAAGTTACGTACTAGTATACCCATATCTTTTTAATTATCGCATATTTTTGCGCAAGATGGAAGGATCGAGGTTTTTAATTACCGTCTGGATTGAAAAATCCATTGAATCTTGCTTTTTGGTTGCATGATAATGTTAGAAATTTAAATTTCATTTATTGTATATCTTTGCATCACTTAAAATTGAGGATGTTTCATTCCAATGTACTAAAGATTAGAGGTTAATCTAATAAATGCTTCAATATGCCGGTAGGCCATTCTGATGATGACATTTTATCAAGCGATTTTTAATTTACTACCTGTATATTTTTGATTCGCTTAACGAATTCTAACATCCGTTGATGTTTAAGCATACGTATCTTACTGGTCAGAATCAAGCGAAGGTAACGGCCGTAACCTTCGCATCAAAGATGGCGGATGGTACATGTAAGTGTCGATTTCGATATGTTTAGTTTTCATCGAATATCGAATATAACTACGTTATGTTTGACGTAATACTTTGATATTTGAACTATATCAGGCATATATGACATGGAAACTCTGGAGTATGATAATTTGTTCAAATATCGTGCCTGGGCGCCGTAGTTCAACGATACCTCCCACCGCCTTAAGGGAAGGTAGCTGGAAATATATGATACGGTAACGTTCATGTTTTTTTTTCTTTATTGAATTTTTTTTACTTCAAAGAAAAAACTCAATCGGCCGGGCGCCGGCCGATGGATCAGAGCAAATGTGACCCAGGCATAATTCAGTGGAAGATACCGTTACACTGCGGTGCCTACGCATCGTGCATGAACAAATTATCAAACTCCAAAGTTCCCATGTCATATAAGCCTGATTTGGTTGAAATATCAGAGCACAACGTCAACTATAAAGTAGTTTGATTCAATGAAAACTTAATATATCGAAATCGACAATTACCGTCCGCCATCTTAGATACAAATGTTACGGTCGTTACCTTCGCTTGATACTGACCAATGAAACCTAGAATTTGCTCATAAGCTTACGTTATATTTGCAAAATCATTAATACACTCTGAACCATATGTCTGATGAATTTAGATTGATTCAATAGTGCTTCAATGTGTTTATTCCTAGCATAGTTTAAACAATTGTATATTCACATTTATCTAATGCAGGTACTAGTGTTATTCATGTCAGATATGTCAGTATAAAAGATATGTCACATATTTGCATCAAATAGTTATCTCGTTTTTTAACCTTGTAGTGTGTGGGTATGAGTAACAGTCTGATATAGAGTTTATCGAAATCGTACCAGTGTTTAAGATCATCCTTCGAACGCAGGGCTCCAGATTCATCCACTACTATACGTTCCTTCCTTCCATCCTCCAAACGCAAGGCTCCAGACTCATCAACAACGTTCCTTCCTTTTTCTTAGAAGAAGAAGGTACAAGTTCTTGAGACCTGTGTCCGGAGGATGGAAGAAGGAGGTACGAGTTCTGGAGGCATGTGTTCGGAGGATGGAAGAAGGAGGTTCGAGTTCTTGAGGCCTGTGTAGGTAGAACTATCCTTACTTTTGTACCATTGGGATGCATGTTAAATTGACAAAGTTCGAATTAGAATTTCTCAAATCGCAGCCCATCGATTTTCAAACAATTTCAGAGAAATGCAGCAACACATCTCACCTTCATGTCAAAAAAATGTCAACAAAAATATCCCACGAAAATCAAAACTGCTGCTCTCTTACATAGTAGGAGTACCAAAACGTCATCATATTTGTGTACATTGACCAATCCACCACTACCAAGGTCATCCATCCGCAGAAAATAATCTCAACGATTTTACCGTTCACTGTTATGCTCACTTGTTTCCCAGTTATTCTGAGCATTATATGCCTGCAAATTAGAGTATTCTATCCAAAGATGGTGCTGTAGTATACCATTGAACTGGTCCCCAAACAGGTTTTTAATAGAACAACTTTTGTCATACCACGAAATAAACAAACGAGTAAGGATAGTACACCGAGTATCTGACTTTACCGTTGTCAGGCTATTCTGGGGTGTGTTTACAATTCATAATTATATTGTTGCATAGTCGGTTTCAAAGTACTAAGAACTCTTCACAATGTATAAGAAGCTCATGCATGGATTTCAACAATGCGCTTAAAGGAAGTAATGCACTTGCCATTGTGATCTCCCCATGAAAAAAATTATTTCATCTGATTTTTCAAAATGAGTATACTGCTTTTATTTTTACATTTATATGCACACTAGTATCTTGTTGACCTATATTCAGCACTGTATTGATGTATTGACCACCAGGAAGTATTTTTGTGTTAATCAAAATCCATTTGCATCCTATGCATCCCTACATCTTATCCAAATATGATACTAAATAACACCCTTGGTATACGCAGCTAACGAAAATTGACCGGTACGGGTCAAAAGCTGGACCGGTACGGGTTAACGGTTTTATTTGAATTTAAAATAGCCATAACTTGCTCAATATTGACTTCCTCGTGTCTAATTTGAAATATATGATGCCTCCCGATGCTTTTAAGTACCCCAATTTTTTTACAGATTTTTAAACGGACCAAAACTCTCTAAATGCGCATTTATGCTCTTTTCTCTCGAGAACGACTGTCTCATTTTCACGATAACTTTTATTTAGTACTTCTAACATATAAGATCTATTTTTCCCCATCAAGGTATGATGTAAAGGACATGCTATTTACATCTTGTGAGTTTGAATGACGCGCGTTTGATTTTATAAAAAATGCCAAACTTTGTGACAAAGAATTTCATCCTGCTTGCAGCGAGAAGACGGACCGGTTCGGGGCAATCTGCTTGCAGCGACAAGACGGACCGGTTCGGGGCAATAGCTGATGAAATTCTTTGTCACAAAGTTTGGCATTTTTTATAAAATCAAACGCGCGTCATTCAAACTCACAAGATGTAAATAGCATGTCATTTACATCATACCTTGATGGGGAAAAATAGATCTTATATGTTAGAAGTACTAAATAAAAGTTATCGTGAAAATGAGACAGTCGTTCTCGAGAGAAAAGAGCATAAATGCGCATTTAGAGAGTTTTGGTCCGTTTAAAAATCTGTAAAAAATTGGGGTACTTAAAAGCATCGGGAGGCATCATATATTTCAAATTAGACACGAGGAAGTCAATATTGAGCAAGTTATGGCTGTTTTAAATTCAAATAAAACCGTTAACCCGTACCGGTCCAGCTTTTGACCCGTACCGGTCAATTTTCGTTAGCTGCGTATACCAAGGGTGAATAATGAAATATAATATTATAATCTTTGGTTTTGCAAAGTTGTATGATATTTTAGAAGTGTAAAAGCTGTTTTTGGAGCATTTTTCTATAGCCATTTTGTAGGAAAAAAATGACGAAAAATGTACAATCTTTTAATTTAAAGTATGACCTGAATGGATTGCAAACTTCATATTTGCACATTTGATAAGATGAATCATTTGTGTCTTATTGTGAAATTATTAAGTTTGCAATCGATTCAGCTCAAAGTGTATTTTTGGTATTTCTGTGATAATCAATGGAAACCAATGGCCTCTTTTGGGAGCTGCTGATATCCTCATGTTAAGTCAATGTGCAATGGTGCACAGCCCCATGTAAGTCGATACAACCTTACTGAACGAAATAACCCCTATCTCAGCTTATGTGTGCCCGAGCACTTTAATATTTTCCAAAGTATTATATGACATGCTATTCTTCATGTTACACCTAAGAATGATTCATTTTGACCATAGGGATATTTGCCAATAATTGCACATCTTCCTTTTATTTTCATCAGTCCCTCCAGATAAGAGGCAAGAAAAAACGATGACAAGCATTGCCCCTTGTACATGTACTGTTAATCTGTGATATGGTATTGCACAACTGTTTGCAAGGTTTATTTCTGTTTATTTCTAGTATTTTCCAACATTGTCCAACATGAAACTTCACTTATCTACACTTAAATAATTCACAATGAGAAATACGAAGAAGTAATTTTCAAACGATTAAACAATTTGGAAATTCTTTGTTTGACTTTTTCCAGCAGCCATTCGATCATCTGTGAAATAAAACAAAACGACAGATTCTGTTTTATTTGGACTGTACGATGAGTCTAACCCTGTGATATGAATACCAGCGAGTGCGATCTGTACTGTAGACTTGTAGTGTGTAGGAACCGAAGCTGTTATTGAAAGAGTGTTATTTGACTGAAAGTGCCGAATCATCAAGATACAAGCCTGGTCAACTGTGAAAGAAAAGGACATTTCTGTATCTAGGTGAACAAAGGAAAATGGAGCGGTGAATAAAACCATGGAAAGTATATCAAGTCTTGATTGGTACACGATATGGGCATTTGAGTCCTGTTGCAAGATCGCCACTGATGGATTAGCGTGGCGTTCCTCAGTTTGAGCTATGGTTACACCTGGGCACATGATGTACGCATACGGTTCTACACCGTGTTCCATCCACATTGTAGCGACTTTCAAAGTTTTGCCGTTTGCCTTCTTAACATGGGAATCGATATTTGCACCTGCACCATTTGGGAACACATATCCAATGTTGTCATGGTGAATCCATTTAGCATTTGGGACATGTGTTGTAGTGCTTGGGCTTACATATTGGCTTGTCCCTGAATTACTATATGCAATGTCACCATTTTGAACTACTTGATTCAGCGTAGTGATAATTGGGAGCTCGGTCACCTCATTAGTTTCACGCCTCTCGATATCATTACCCAAGCAGACGACTTCATCATCAAAGAAAAACCAAGACTTCTTCATCGTTATTTTGACGGTTGGACGATCGTATACCATTGCAGATACACCGTACATGCCATCAGAGGCACTGCCAACGAAGACAGCGTTACTAATATGATGGGGAAATCCATTTGGATTACCAACATTTCTCTCCATACCTTCCCGGGGGACCTGCCCACTATATTCGACTGTTGCACCTATAACAAAAACAAATTAATTGAATCACCAAACGGGTGATGTGTGGAAATGTGTTCGTCATTGTAAACGTTGAAAATCTCGTGACATTTTTTTTACAACAGCTTGTAAGTACGATTCTAGTTAGATGCTTTTAAGATGGGCTCTGGAAGAAAAATCATGTTAATGTCACCACTAGAAATTGGTGCCAATCGATGTTCGTCTGTAAAATTGTTTCACTTTTGAAACAATTTGTAACACATATAGACCTGTTCAATATTTCTTAAAACTTTTGGAAATATACGAGTTTGTTCGGGTGCATAGGTCATGTAACACTATTGTACTACAATGAATTTGGAGTAGGAGAGAATAGGAATGGTACATTACCTGGAATTTTTTCCCAATCATAATACTGAAAAATTTCGTTGTATCTGGATCCGAACTCGTGGTCATTTTGTAGAAGAGTCACAAATCCATCGCCTGTATAATACCTGGAATGTCAGAATCGGTAAATACATAGACCTGACGACATTCCTGTTTTTTGTCTGTTTCTAATTTATTTTTTGAGTCCGATCCAAAAAGTAGCAAATATTTGCATTATATCTAAACTGAACAATATGCTATACTAATGAAACTTGTTCTCACCATCCCATATCCTCTATGTTCTCAACATTTCGTATACCGTCAACACACTCCATACATTCTATGTTATTAACATCTATTTCTCCATCTATGTTGTCAACACTCCATACGCTTCTTCCCACACCCTGTTTCACCCGTTAGAGCTTCTATGGGTTGCTTTGGTATGTCAAAACGATTATCTGGCTAAACAATTTGAATTTATCACTTACCTTGAGCTTTCTAGGATTCTTAATGGCTTTGGCATCAATTTACAGAGAGTTAGCACCTAATGGTGAATTGTTCTTACCCGTCTGGATTTTCCGTTCTTCTTGAGCTAGCCCACGTCTCGGGTCTGACTGTGCGAGCAGAAAACATACGCACACTCGCCATGTAGCTTTGTCTATGATGGACCATCATATCTGAAGCGAATAATGCCCGGTTACCAATTAGGGCGTTTGACGCACTTGTAGGACCATGGTTCAGGTATCTTGTAATCGCGTTCTGGAGTTCTTCTTTGCGATAATCGAGCTCTAATAGCCATCTTACAACCTGAAACAAAAGCATTATAATTCTCATATCGATATGATGGGGTTGAATATATCAGGAAGGGAAACCTTTCTTTTATGTTGAAGTCCCTTTTGGTTTACAGCAAATGTGATCATTTGAATATGTTGCAGAAGCATTTTAACAAGGAAACGAAATTACACTGTATGGTAAGATTTCTTTTTAAGGGAAACAATGGAGACATTATCATGGGGAAAATGGTGTACAGCAAAGGCTGGATTAAATGGGTGATAGTAGGCACATGTGTGAAACAAATATCCATAGATACATAAACGTCATACCTTGTAAACCGAGTCTAAAGACGCCCAATACGTTACTCGCTGGTTATCATCAATATTACGCCCAACTGAAGTCGGCTCGAATGTCCGACCGCGGACCAAATACTGATGACATTCCAAGAAGACATTTATGAACTCAGACAACAGAATCTCTTTCACCTAAAACAAAATATTTGCCGTGTCATGAGGAATTTATCAAAATTCTAGGCTAAGCATACAGACACATTGATGTGGTAGGTGTACAGTACACCAAACCTTGAAACTTTTAGATAATCAAGGGTATGATTACAATTGCATATTTACTGCATAAGAGGAGTTGTGAAGTGCTATATAAATGGAGCCAAATCTTTTAAGAAACTCAGCCCCATATCCACCATTGTAGATCATCAGACGTATATGTGAGTTGGTATGATTTCCTTCATAGAACCCCGCGTGGAGATTATGTACGTGAATACAGTAGTCGGCTCCTACACCCTCTCCTGTATAAGAAAAACAATAAGTTAATGAGTTGATAAAAGGCACATTTGAGAACGTCGCGTCACTGGTGATCCACTCGATTACGCTGGAACCGTTTCGGTAACAAGATGTCGGAACGCCGAAGGTACGATTTTTCTTTTTTCCTTATTTCACACGTTGTAGGCAGCATTCACACGACATTTTTATCACAAACGTGTATCAGTATCATATGTTTAAGAAAATGTGCATATTTGCGAACAAATAGTTCAGAAGACAACGAAATCGTCGATTTAATTTCTCACTTAAGTTACATAAACGGTATAAGTTAGGAATTAAATCGACGATTCTGTTGTCTTCTGAGCTATTTTTTTTCGCAAACATGTACATTTTCTAAAACATATGATACTGATACACGTTTGAGAAAAAATATCGTGGGGATTCTACCTACGACGCGTGAAATAAGGAAAAAAGAAAAATCGTACATTCAACGTTCCGACATTTTGTTACCGATACGAACCTTTTCGGTAACCAGCGTAATCGAGTGGATCACCAGTGCGCGTGAAGAATTCGAACGTGAATACAGCTGTCGGCTCTTACAGTGTACGACCCCATGCATAGCATAAATTAAAAATATAGAAATAAGATAATAGTCTGATGATGATTTCCCAACATAGCCCAGATCATGATGCACTTATGATTTTTTGCATTTAATTTCAAAGGATCTCTATATTATGAGATTATTGCAGAGATTATGTTTCTCATTTATCATCAATCCAGGTTATCATTTTCATTTTCAAGTATTTGTAAAATAACGTATCGTCTAAAGTAAGTATTGATAGAGGGAAGAACAGAAAATAAATAATCATTCACTAAGATATTTAGGCAATTTTATATTTGTACTATTTGCACGTTTATATCTACATTATGGTACAGTAGCAAGTATATAAGATAAGATAAAGATGTCTACCTTGATATGACGTTTTATTTACAATTTCCTGAGTTAAATACTCAAGAACCTGACTTCTTCTGGTTTCGAATATCTTTTCGCTTTGGAAATATGTCTCGAACAATCCCAGGAAACCTCTATTTGCAAGATTTGATGCCGACATAAACCCATCCTTCTTCCGTTCGTAATCCCATACAGTACGGCGAGTCCAGTATCTTTGAATCAAATCGTCATACAGCTTGTCGTTGATTTTATCTCTCGAAAGAAAGAGACCAGCCCAGAGGGACCGTGGTACACCAATTTGATTGCCCCACCAATTCCAATCTGTGTTGTTGGGTGCACTATACGCAAGATATTCCCAAGATTTCACGATCCATTCCCAGGTCTTTGTGTTCTGATAGAACCTGTTTCCTCTGTGGGGCAATAAATAAGATTGAATGAGTTTAGTCAGTCTATCACCATGGGTTATAAACGGCTTTGACCATTTGTAGGTGTTATCAGTGTATGTGATATCGTTGAAACTTCCATCAGCGTTTATCTTGCTTGGGTTAACATATTTGTTCGATAATCTAATTGAATATCGCTCCCCAGCTGCATCCTCTGGCATAGCAAGTAATTTGAAGTTGTCGTCAAGTTCAGAAGTAAACCTACCCGCCGAACAAAACTTCATAAACATCACCATCAATACACATATTTTCAGTCTTGTCATCTCCATGATTAACATTTCCTCGATCTACACCCGAGTAGACCTGATTTAAAATTCACCTCGTGATGACTAGCTTAAAAGGTCCTGTCGGGCAACGAGGACTCCGACAACTTCATTAGGAGCTGCAACATATGAAACGATTTGTTAAAAGTATAGGTCTTCACTATCATTATATAATCATTGCAATTTTCATCTGTGATCGCAAATTGTAGGAAATGATTTGTCGATTAGTATCAGGATGGTAGTCCGTATCAAACTTATAATTTATGCAACTTAAATATGCTTATGTATAGATTATGATATTAACATGATTTCGGAACAGTATTTTCGAGACTTGTTATATCTATTGTATCTTGTTATTACATCAATACAAGTATTAGTATTATTTTGCTTGCATTATATATACACTCAAAGTTTTGATATGATATATCTACAAGGTAAAAAATACTTACACCATCACATCCAGGGCTTCAAACCTAAATTTGTATATCATAAATGATATATTTATCGTATTTTATTTCAGCATGAGATAAAACAATACTTATTTGTCATGCTTACTATACTTACTTGTCATACTTAGAGAAAGACAAATTATTGTAAGATAAAGGCAGCGTTCATATTCTGAAATATTAACGAAAGGTCGCTTTCAAACCAACTTAAGTGTTTGTCCTCCATCAAATGGTACTTAGATCATTATGTAACTGTCATGAATGACTGGGCAATCATGACTATTATGAAAGGTGGTAAAATCAGCACTGTCCCAAGTTATCATTCAAGTAGGAATGACACAGTGAATGTTTTTGTTGGTACCCCCCTCTCGGGATATTGGATCCAAAGAGCCACTTAATCAGCAATGAAACTTCTACTTGATGATATGCAGCTTTGAAGTCAATTATATCCCCATGTAAAGTCCATAACCTTTGCTCAAATCCTCATTTTTGGAACTTTTTGTTTGCTCTACTGCTCAGTTGTCAGTTGAACCATTTTTGCAGGCCTACTATTATTCTAGAGTAAGTTAAGTTTTTTGTCAAACCTTTTTTCATAAGAGATTTATTCAGTCCCCAGTCTAATTCAGTATAAAAGGCCTGTCCTCTAACATAATGTAACAGAAAAAAGAATGCTAAGCCAATTGCATATCACTGGCCAAACATGAAGGTAACTTGGAACAGTGCTAATTTTACTACCACCTCACATAATGGTCAAGAATGCTCAGTCATACACGACAGTTACACAATGATATAGGTACCATTTGATGGAAAATAAATCAGGCTTTTAACTGCTACCTTTGTATTTTAAAAAAACTGCTCAGGATTCTAGTAATTTGGTTTAGAAGTTACGCTACGGCCCTCTGAGAAACCACTAAACCAAATTAGGGAGGCCACTAGGGACATTGAGGACACCGGCAAAACCCTCTTGGGAACCACTAAGGCATTAGGCTATAGGCTATACTAGAGGGCCACTAAAGCCTAAAATACCGGGTATTCTAGTGATATTGCAGTGAACCACTATGGTCGTCAGGGGCATATCGCTGACCTTTTAATGGACCGGAAGTCCCCATAGGAGACCATTGGGCATCTCTAGGGAATCACAAAGCCCCTCTACTCTTGGGAACTACAAGTGTCCACTAGCAAACCACAGAAACCTTAAAGCTACCAACTAGGGCCCTATTTAGGGTCTATAAAGAACCCAACGGAACCTTCTAGAGTCCTTTTTAACCTCTAGTCCTTCTTGGAATCCACCTTTATATGTTAGCGAACAGCAATGACCTTCAAGGGAGGAACTACTGTGTCCTTTTAAGGACTACTAGAACCCTTAAGGGAATGGGCTGAATGGGCAAAACATTAGAAACTTTAAGCAATGCATATGACATCGTAACGTTAACCTGTACGTATATGCCATTGATAGTTATAGCTGGTTTTCTATGATACATAAAAACAAGTTCGTTTCGTAAGATATTTAGAGCTAAAAATAAAGCAATACATCAAATTTCATCAAATCTTTTCATAATTCACCATGTGCTTAAAGGAGGGAACAGTAAGAAAAACCTAATCAATTCGAACAATTATGGTTTGACTTTTTCCGGCAACCCTAATATCATCTGAGAAATAAAACTGAACAGAGGATTTATGTTCAATGGGGCTGTAAAATGAGTCGGCTCCTGTGATATGGATACCAGCTAGTGTGATATTGATTGTAGCCTTGTAGTGTGTAGGAACCGAAGCAGTTATTGAAAGAGTGTTATTTGACTGAAAGTGCCGAATCATCAGAATACAAGCCTGATCAACTGTGAAAGAAAAGGACAATTCTGTATCTGGGTAAACGAAGGAGAATGGACCGGTAAACACGACCATCGAGAGTATATCAAGTGTTGATTGGAACACGATGTGGGCATCTGTGTTCTGTTGCAAGATCACCACCGGTTGATTAGCCTGGCGTTCCTCAGTTTGAGCTATGGTTACACCTGGGTACATGATGTACGCATACGGATTTAGACCATGTTCCATCCACATTGTAACGACTTTCAGAGTTTTGCCATTTGCCTTCTTAACATGGGAATCGATGTATGCATCTGCCCCTTTTGGGAACACATATGCCACATTGTTGTGGTGAATCCATTTAGCATTAGGAACGTTTGTAGATTTGTCCGCAGCTGCATATTGCCTTGTACTTGAATTGCTATATACAATGTCATCCTTTTGAACTACTTGATTCAGCGTAGTGATAATTGGAAGCTCGGTCACCTCATTAGTTTCACGTCTCTCGATATCATTACCCAAGCAGACGACTTCATCATCAAAGAAAAACCAAGATTTCTTCATTGTTATATTGACAGTTGGACGATCGTAGACCATTGCAGATACACCATACATTCCATCGGAGGCACTGCCAACGAAGACAGCGTTACTAATATGATGGGGAAATCCATTTGGATTACCAACATTTCTCTCCATACCTTTGCGGGGGACTTGTCCACTACATTCGACTGTCGCACCTACAGTATAAATGAAAACATTGTTTCTATTACTAAAACACTAAAACAGCAACAATGTCATTGGGAAAACCTATTTGATAGTGCTATGGCTCAACTTTTGTCTCATGTAAGCTTGGTCAATGAGAATAAATTTGTCACATACGATTCACAGTAAGGAGTATGCTTTTCAGTTTTTGAGATAAATAAAAACTACAGGGATGTTGTGATATATTATTGTAGCCTTAACATATAAGTGACCGGCCTAGGCAATCGGTCTTTCACATCTGTAACAATCCCCATTTTTACAACAAAAGTTTGCATCTTCAGAGTTAATATTTTACCGTTACATATAAACACGATAGTTTTAAGTTTCGACAGATTTTTACAATACATGTTTCTATGGCAACATATTAGAGGACGTGTTCTTTTATGATGAACGCAGGTGAATATTTACCCTGCGTGCAGAGCTCTCTTTTAAGAAGTGAAGTCAAACGAATGCAAAGGGTAGTGAATATTGATGGTACAGTACCTGGAATCTTTTCCCAATCATAATATTGAAAAACCTCGTTGTATCTGGATCCGAACTCATGGTCATCTTGTAGAAGAGTCATAAATCCATCGCCTGTATAATACCTGAAAATGAATATCCTCAATTTTTTTTTACATGCCATTGCCTTACTTGGGACTTCCAGTGTTGTACAGGGTGTCAAATAAATATGTGCTCATCACTCCCTTAGCTTTAACATCCACACAATGTTGCATAACTTATTTGTCTGCATGATATCTGAATCCTTCTTTGGCACAATAAAACTAGGCTTCATAGAGCAACTCCACAATAAGTTTCAGATGACTAACTCAACTAGATGCACTTTTATACACAAAAGTTCATACTCTTGTAATTCAGGGGAAGAACATATTTATTTGACACCCTGTACATGGCTTTATGCATTTTATCTTGCATGAGCCTCATTAAATAAAATATAAAATAATAAATAAGATTATCATCGCCGCATATGTGATTGAATCTTACCCTTCTGGATTTTGTGTTCTTCTGGAGCTCACCCATGTCTCTGGTCTGACCGTACGAGTAGAAAACATACGCACACTCGCCATATATCTTTGTCTGTGGTGGACCATCATATCGGAAACGAATAATGCGCGGTTGCCGATGAGGGCGTTAACTGCACTAGTAGGACCATGGTTGAGATATCTTGTAATCACGTTTTGAAGTTCCTCTTTTCGGTAATTGAGTTTTAATAGCCATCTTGCTATCTGAAAACAGAAGTACCATGATCCACAATGAAGAGGTTGTATTCATCAGAAAGGGTAAACCTTTCAAATGTAAATTGACGTTTCTTACTGTAAATAGCATATTGCAATTATTGTATTGACTTCTTAAAAACTTATCGAAAAGTTACAGTGGGTACTAGTTTAAGACGGATTGCCTGATATAAACAGTGTGTCCCAAAATTTATATCGAAACAAACATGGAATAACTCCTTAAGTGATAAAGAAACACTCTTGAATTTCGATCATCTGACAGACAACTTAATTATCATTAACTCTTTTTGAGTTCTAGAGAAAAGCTTTTCTAATAACCATATACCGAGTTTCAAATTTCTAGCAGCACACTTAACTCTGCATCGATGATGATGGAGATCATTTAGAACATGTCATCTTTCAAATTTCTAACGAAGTAATTTACAATTTTTTACCGCTAATTAGAAAATGAATTCATTTGATCATGTGAGAAGTTCATTTTTTCAAAAAAAGTTGGGACCTCCATAGACATAACATTGCGTGGGATATCATGGGATTTTGCCTCATTGGTGCATACTGAACTTTATTCCCGTTTCATTTTGGCACAATTTTTGGGGACACCCAGTGTATACAACGTACCTTGTAAACTGAGTCTAAAGACGCCCAATACGTTACTCGCTGGTTATCATCAATATTACGCCCAACTGAGGTCGGCTCGAATGTCCGACCGCGCACCAAATACTGATGACACTCCAAGAAGACATTTATGAACGCAGACAACAGAACCTCTTTCACCTAAAACGAAACATTTGCCATGATGGCTGAATCAAAATACATTTTATAGGTTTTAGTAAATGGTGTAATAAAGCGGCAATTTCAAAACCTCTGCGTTTGAG